GGTTGCTGTATTTGCGGATATGATTCATTAAGTTGTTACCATTGACAAATAGTAAATGTAACAGGTTCATACATTAATTGCTCAAACTTAAATGGCAACATTAATTACACAATTAAATGACCTTTATCTACATTTTGGGAATATACTATATAAATTAGTTATCAATGAATTTTACTAAATCACTACACAAAAACTCAAAACAATTAATCGAGAAAAGAAAATGAAGAAGATGAGTTTCTCCAGACTAATTGCCATTCTCATTCTACTCGCTCTTATGCCCTTTGTAGCCTTAGGTACATACTAATTTCTTTTACTTTATTTATCAATTTAGACACACGAATTAAAAAGATATATATATATATATATATATATATATATATATATATATATATATATATATATATATATATAAAAAAATTTGATATTATTGATTTAAAAAAATATTTTTCAGGCGGGAAAAATAAGGTGGTAACACATTATAAGTGCAGAGGAAATAAAATAAAATCAGAAGACAAGTGCAGAGAAGTATGTGGAAACCCTCCCTATTCGAAATTATATGGGGTGTGTGAATGGGATTGGTTTTCTCTGTGGCTACGTGGCAGCTGTGTGTGCTACGATGATTATTATGTCAAGAACATTGGATGGGTCCCACGAATTGATTAACTACTAAATATATTTTTATATTACCATATCATAATAATAATAATAATTATTATTATTATTTAAACGTGTAACAAAAGTTTTTCCTATGTTTTTTTAGCATTTTTTTTTTTTTTTTGTAGTATTTAGATTGTTAAATATGTGTAATTGCATTTGTTTTTAGGACATTTATAAATGAAAATTTTATAGTTAAAGAACTATTGAAATTTTTGTAGATATTTCATCTGATAATTATGGAAATATAATTATTTTTAGAATTCATTGTTGAGATCAAATTTACCAAAAGAGATTAAAAGACAATTGGAGTATTAGATTATTTGAAAGAAACGTAAACTTATTTTTAGAAGATTAAATTACAACCACTTCCCGAAGTTTAAGTTTAATTAAAAAAACCATGCAGTTTGAAATTTTTTTACATCCACCCTTCTACAAAAAGGATGTTAATGTAAGAAATCAACAAATTGAGGAGTGGATGTAATCATGGAAAAATAAGAAATGTTGTAAATAGAATTTACCTCAGTGGTGCAATTGTAATTTACCATTTTAGAATGCGTACCACAAACAAACTCATACTTTTTTAGTCATGAACTTATACCAAATGTGGACAATCGTTTTTTATTTATTTAAAATTAACATCTAAATGTTTTAATGTAAATGTATGTTCTTAATTGTGAATATGAAATAGTCTAAACACTCTAGGCATACTTGTAATTTCACAAACATGAGGGCGATTTTGTACTTAAATGCATACTTCACGGGTTTAATTACGATTTCGTACTTAAGACCAAACCTTAATAAAATGGATGTTGCATTCCATCAAAGCTTTAGTAGTGACATAATATTTACACAATCACATTCTCAAATCCTATATTATAACTCGAGCGTCGAAATATATACGCCGCTAGAAAATTCTTCCCCGCAAAGTTCAACAAGAGGATTCAGAGCGAAATTCCGACAACAAAAAGTGGTCGATTAAGTTTTCTTGACGGGACAATTCGACCACGTACACGTAACGCAACACATGCATAATTAATTACTTAACTTAAATGACACATTAATTACTCCATTAAATGACCTCTAATCCTCCAACCCCCCATTTTTCTTGTCCAATATAAATAAATACAAGACTGATCAAACAATCACACAAAATCAAATCATATTAAAAAATAATAATAATAATAAATAAAAATATGAATAGAAAGAATTTGTTGAGCCTTTGCATACTAATAATAGTGGCTCTTATGCCCTTTGCAGCTTTAGGTGAAAAAAGGGAAGAACCGTTAGGTGGTTTCGTATGCATGGGAGGAGATCGAGAATTGGCGGATAAAAGCTGCATACAGCGCTGCAAAGGCTGGCCATACTATGTTGACTCCGGTCGGTGTAAATGGGACGAGTCTTTCCTATGGTTTTTCGCCATTTGCGTATGTTTCACATAACAAACAAAAATCGGACAAAAACGTATTACATTTTACGACAAAAAAAACAATAATTTTATATATATACATTACATATATAGATACATATGTATATGTGTAATATAATGTGTAACAAGCTATGTTGGTTTGTCTTATGGAAAAAAGAGATTCGAGAATCCGCCCGGTGTTTACTTATCTTGAAAGAGGTTATTAAAGAATCCCGGGCTGAAAACTATTCCTCCAAAAAAATTCCGGACATTTTTTTTTTCCGGAAAAAAAATCAAACAAAAATATATTTTCCTTCATATAATTAATTAAATGCTAGTTCGTTTCTAATAAACACGATTAATTCCCATACGCTTAGAAGAAATTAGAAACACTCATGCAGATCAAGTGAAAATGATAATTGTGCTAACGATTTTTTCTAATTCGTACCAAACTACTTCTCCTCCCACGCTGTAATCCATTACCTTTCGTAATACGTCTCACAATTGTCATCTGCCCTTCTCCCTTTTTTGCACGAACCCCTTTTCGAGCGGGTTCTTCTAGAAGCTTCTTCAGCGATGGATCATCGTTTAATCCGAAAGATGATGTCATCTCAGAGTAGAATTCTTTAGCTTTGGCAATCAACCCACATTTCGCAAACCCTTCGACCAAAACCTTGTAATGCTCGCGATCTGGCTTTATCTCGTATTCGTTCATTTCCGACCATATTTTTAGTGCATTTTCCGGTTGACCCGTTTTCAAGAACTTGTCAAGAATAAGAAGAAAAGTTTCCCTACTTGGCCCTAAACGAGATTTTCTCATATGACTCAGCACTCCCAAAGTTCCTTCCAAAGTTTCGCCCTTGAGTAATTCGTGATAGGTTTCGATAGTAGGACTGATGTCATCTTCTAACATCCTTGCCAACACAACTCTCGCATCCTCAAACTTTTCAGCTTCGCAAAGCGGGCGTATGACAAGATTATACGTGGCGGAGTTCGGTTTCAGACCTGTTTCTTTCATTCTATCTATAATTCTAAGAGCTTCGCTTAGGCAATTTTCACGAGCCAGCACGTAAATCAGTGAATGGTACACCTCCAAACCCGGGACCCACCCTCTTTTCTTCATTTCATCGTACAGTCTCAAAGAATCGAATAGATTGCCTACGCTCGAAAAGCAAGAAATCATGTGCGTGTATGAATTCCCGTCTGGTTCGATGCAGCATTTCGACATTTCCCGCCAAATTCTCTTGGCCTCGTATACGTCGGTGGCTATGTTACACCATCCGTTGAGAATTATGTTGAAGCTCTCTGTTTCCAGTGGCGAGAACTTCTTATTGAGATACATAGATTGTTCGGCCTCTTCGATGTTTCCGTGCTTGCAAAGAATATTTAAGAAGACGAAATACGTTTTTTGTTCGGGTGAAAACTTGAACTTCTGCATTAAGTGGAATGTCTCGATCGCCTTGTCTGGGTTATTTGCAGCAGCATATCTATCAGGTTGGAACGCAAAACAATGAAAAACCCGAGATAGAATTTAAAAAAAAAAAAATTTAAAAATTGAATGAGATATTCCCATGAATCCATCAATTAGGTGACAACAAATTCATATATTCAAATAAACGAAAAATTAAGAAAAGAAAATGAATCGACATTTCTACCTATTCAGATATAATCAACAATCACGAATCACGATACAAGCTGACCATTTGTACTATAATGCATTGCTCCAAGTATTAAAAAAAGAAAATAAACATAAGACAGTCACAAAATCTTCTCCAAAACATTAAAATAAATCATCAACCAAATCATATTAAACAAAAACTGGTTAAATTTTTCACCTGTCAATCAAGATCAGCATTGCTTGTTGAGTGTCCTTCGAAGCTCGATAAAGCTCGTGAACGAGAGTCCAAGCGGTACCGAATTTACCATGGTTACCCAACAACCATATCATCAAACACCAAGTCTTTTCGACCACACAATCCCGTTTCTCACCCCATTTGTACACTAAGAACGCCAACTTCCACTCTTCTCTCAAATCCCAAATCAGCGAAAAGATGAAATCTTTATCAGGTCTGACGTCAGCATCATCAAGAAAAGCTATGGCTTCATCGCCCGAAGCAAAGTCCTTAGCTTTCTGAACTCTTTCACGAATTTCTTCAAAGCCCAATCGGATCTCTCCACGTGCTTCTTCAGCACACTCCGCCGAGAAGCCCATGATCTCGTAAAGTCGTCGGCCGGCGAAGTCAGGGGTGTGTTTGCATTGCCTGCAAGGTGTTTGATGAAATGCTTGAGAGAAACAAAGCATCGCGGAAGAAGAAGCGAGTGGTGATGGAATGAATTCGTGAGCAGAAGAAAGAGAAAAGCGTAATAGTGAAGATGGACGAAGGAGTTGGAGCCTCCTTACGAGCAGCGCCATGGATTTGCTGTATGGATTTCAGTGCTTCCATATCAGTGTTTCTCCATTTACTCTCTGTACAGTAATAATTAATCACATATGGCGCCAAAATTAGGGCACTCAAGCTCAGATTTTAATTGAGAGAGACCTAATTATTTTAGAAAGGGTAATTTACAACTACACCCCTTAGTTATGCTAAAATAACATTAAAGTCCCTATAGTATTGGTAATTACAGCCACACACCTAAAGGCTAAAACAATTACCGAAGGCAAGATTTCATGTCCTGGGGACCCGTTATGCACTGTATTTGTTTCATGCGGGGCTGTTAATACTATCATAGACGAAAATTTATAAATCTTATATAAAATAATAAGAATTTAAGAAATGTAAAGAGAGTCACGTCACCCCCTAGCTCTATGTTTTATCCATCACTCCCTGAAATTAATAGTCCCGTTAGAACCCTCACGGAATAATTTATTAAATGCATTGTAATTAAAAATACTATGGGACTTTAAACTTTCTAACAATGTTTTAGGGGGGTCATTGTAATTAAAAATACTATAGGGACTTTAAAGTTATTTTAGCATACCTCAAGGATGTAAGTGTAATTTATTCTTTTAGAAATAATAAATAATAATATTACTAAAAATTTAGGCAACAAATTAAAAAAAAATAATAAATAAAGGGTTTTAAGCTGAAAACACTAAAATAGGAATCGAAGGGTTTAACCACAGTAGCAGCAGTAAGTAAATTCTTCGACGAAGAAAAATGAGCAATGATGCAAAGAAACCTGTCAATGGATCCGGTGGCCCCGCTGCCGCCGCCGCCGCAGGAGGAGGATTCCGGGCTAAATTGGAGCATGTTTTGTACAGCGGTGAGAAGAAGCATGTAGCGGCCGGCATGGCTATTATCGGAGTCCTCTTTGGTGTTCCATGGTACCTCATGACTCGGGGTGAGTTTCTTCTTCGGGAATTTCTTCTTTTTATTTTCGTATTTCATCTGTTTATTGAGAATTTAGGATTGAAATTTTGGGCGTTGGTAATTGATTGGAAATTGAAGTGAATCTGGATTTAATATTTATTTCCTGTGATTTTAAAATTTCGTGATTAATTTGAGAATTTGGTTTCTGAAAAATCTGAACAAATACGAATCCACTAATTTGGATCCATATTGCCACCCATGGTTTATTTCTCATGCGTATGATGAATAATATTTTTTTTTTAATTTTATTTGGAAAATGAATAATATTGTTAATAGGCGTGATTCTGAAGGGGAAGTGGGATATTTGATGATCGACACATTGGATTGGGCGTAAATAGGATGGTTCTTGGTGTTTGATTATTCTTTTTCGGTACATGCTTACGGAAAATCATCGGAGAGCTAAAATTTAGTTTTAGAGTGTGGATTGGACTCTTTTTGCTTTCGGGTGTTGATGATGGTTTAACTTATATGAATCTAAGGCCTCGCTCGTTTGGTTGGTGAGATTAACCATGATTAACTAAATAATTGGACATTGTTTGATGTTTGTTAAACCCAATAACTTCCCGGGTCGACCCGGAAATACTATGTTATCGTCCCTTATGATTAGATTATTTAATCTGTCTTGGCTAATCCTATCTTGGCAACGAAACGATGCTTAAGTTGTATTAAAAGTATTGTTCAAGAATCTTGAACAATTTGGGAAACGGAAGAATATTCAGAGAGCTTTGAGACTAAAGAGGAGAAACCGAAATCTTTATTAACTAAACTGACTAACTTGATTATACGATGCACGCCTTATATACAAGTGAAAGGAAGTATCTAGAATGCACAAACCCTAATCTGCATAAAAGTTAGTCACAGGTTTCCGTATTCCAATAAAGTGTGAGGCTTATATTTCGGTTTATGCTATAAAGAAATTAAAGTTTTGCCTGTAATGGTTAATTGACATTGTTTTTGTATGCACATTCCCAATGTTCGAATAAGATTATCAACACTCTTGTTTCCGTAAGTACGTGATAATGAACATAAAATCTTTAAACTAAGTGAAAGATATATTCTCGACTATGAACTGTGATTTAAATGGAGCAGCTTAGCTTATATATTAAAACGACGTTGTTCTTTCTTGAAGGGTCAAAGCAGCAATCGCATCAAGATTACATGGAAAAGGCAGATAAAGCTAGGAGTGAAAGGCTTTCCGCTGGTTCATCCAAAACCAGATAAAAGACCTTTGCAATCCCTTTTCTCTTATGAAGACAATCTTTTGATGTTATTACCGGAGAAAAGTCGTCCTTGTCACAGGTGAAAGTAATGACTTTTTTTCTTTTTTGATGTTATTTGTACTACGGAGTTACAAGTTTCGAGAACTAATCTTCAATGTAAGGTTGTTTTCCTGTTTATTTGAGTAATAAATAGGGATTTTCAGAAAGACCTCCCTTGACCTCGAGATTTGGTGTAGTTACCGTTTCACCCCCTCGGATTGGATCGTTATTTCCCTTCAATTATTTTTGTCATCGTTAGATGTAAATGGCATTTTTTTTTAAATTCCAAGGTATGTCAGGTTGGTTTGTATGAGACGTATCTTCAAATTTTTTTAAGAATCACAATAGCTTCAATTTTGAAATTAATGAGCACAAAATGCTACAATCTGGACAATTAACCATAGGGGTGTGAGCGAGTTGAGCTCGGCTGTTTTGGCGAGCTCGAGCTCATCGAGTATTTTTTTTTTGGCTCGAGCTCGAGCCCAAGCTGATTATGGGTTTATATATATATATATATATATATATATATATATATATATATATATATATATATATATATATATATATATATATATTAAAAATTATTTATATTATAATAAAAAAATTACAAATAAATAATGGACTACAATAATATTTTTTTTAAATTTTCATATGTTTTTTTATATTATTACAATATTATTTTATATTGTTATATATTATCTAAATTAAAAATAATATACAAAAAATAAATAAAAGAAGGCTGCGAGCCCATCTAACGAACAACTATGAAAAGGCCCGAGCGCTACCCGTCGCGAGCTCGAGCTCGAATCACTCGAGTTCAAGTTCGAGTTTTTTTCGAGCCGGCTCATTGAGCTCACGAGTGGCTCAGCTCATTTACACTACACCCCTAACTGTTTCCATTTACTAGATACACTTCCGTATATCCTTGTAATTTCGAAATCAGACAGCCCCATACAGAATGAAAATTATTGTGCAAAAATTCGAAAAAAAATTCAAATTTAATCTCAGGAATTCAAAAATGCAATTCCAGTTTTCACTCCTTCAACCAATAGTTGCTTGAAGATTTTACATCAAACAAATAGTATCGGCGAAGAAACTAATCAACAGTATTCAATTGTATAGAAACTTACAAACAATTATTTTTGTACAATGAAACTGTGAAATAAACCGGTATCTTTTCCGTCACTAGTATCTGTATTTCTTCAAAAATTTAAATTAATAGATAATAAATAATAGCAAGACCACATTTGTTTGGCAATAAACAGCCTGCAACTCTTTTTTTTTTCTTTTTTTAAATCCATCTTCTACAGCGGCATCAGTCTTCTGTACTTAAAAAACCATAAAAACGTGGCAAAAATAATTGCTCCACAAACTCCAGTGATTATTAGGACCCATTTGAATGCACCTGGATTATCGAACATCGGTATCGCAAAATTCATGCCAAAAACTCCTGCCACCACTCCAAATATTGCTACCACAAAAGTTGCGGTAGTTAATAACAGCTCAAACTGTATAAGCTGGTTTCGAACATTATCCTGCACACAGATTATAAGATTAGTCGAGTGATTATATATGTTAAGCTAAAAGATTAAGTCATTGAATATGGAATGGATTGAATTGGTTGTCCATGATAATGTTATATGGTGATATGTGATTATCCTATATTCAAGATTTATTATGACAAAATCCTTGTACATGGGGATTGTGTAAATAACATACGTCGAGTTTGAACAAAATATTTGAGCTCGTTTCTACCGTGGGCTTGAAACCTAAACCCCAAACACTTGACAAACATTTATTATATTATCAATAGTCATTTCATAATTCCCAAACTAGGCCTAGAGGTATACATATAGCAGATTTGTTCAAAACTTGACCACATTGGGTCAGCATCATTTGAGCCTATAATTGCAAGTATTATGTGCAGGATGACGAGATACTATAATACTATATGACATTTGAAACATATCTTTTGCAAGAAAATACGTCTTTCTTTATAAAAAAAAGAAAGAAAGAAAAAAAGGAATAAGCTCATACCAGCTGAATGTTGATGAAGTCTTCTGTGTCATCGATATACTCCTTCAGCTGAAATGATACAAGAAAATTGTTAATGAACTGTTTCTATAAGACCTATAAAATGTAGGCTATTTTATAAGACGAATATTTTTCCTTTAAAAAAAAAAAGAAAACTCTAAAAACTGAATATCATGGCTAGAGCTAAATACCGAAGTCAATTTATTGAGGGTGCTATCAATGACAACAAAGTAAGCCTCCAACAACATTTCCAGCTCTTCAATATTTTCTGTGGCGTCTTCCGACGAGCTCCTCACACTCTCGTGTCTGCTCCTAGCTATGCTCAGGCTTTTATCAAGCCTCCTATTATCAGGTGGTGAAGAAATAGGAGAAACGGGAGCTGAGACAGACAAAGCACCGTCGTTCGATCGATATCCGATCAAAGATTGTTCCCCATAAAAGGATGATTCCATGCGCCTTTTCTTCTCTGTAAGATACATTTCAGCCATGTCTCCATCATCGTCCATTAGCTGCTCTATCTCGTCTCTAACCTAGATGATAACAATAAAACTTTTTATTAAAACAAAAAACAGAAAAAAAAGGTTGTAAGATGATTATTACATTTACTAGTTATACATACCTTCTGAACTCTTCGAGTTAATGCGACAAGTCTGCTTTTTAATCTACGAACTCGTTCCAAATTTAGTGTGCTGATTTTTGAAGTAAGTTCATCCAGCAATGGGTATGCTTCGATCTCTAACTCTGCTGCCTATTCAATTCCAAGAATTTGCAGATATATATTAAATAAGGGAAGTCTTTTGAAATAAAATACAATCAGAAGAACGAATATTAGTACTCTGAATTATAAGGTGCCCTCAAAATATTGTAAATATACGAATTAAAGGTTCTCTTTCCTCGGTATTTATATAAGGACTCTCTGAACTCCAGATTCTTACTGGTTAGTCTGTTTTTTCTTTCAGATTTGGTCACCCGGACTTTGGGCCAAAACATTGAAGTCATATGCTTATTTGTGTGATCAAAATAGACAACAATTTGGAAAAAAAAAAAAAAAAAAAAAAAAAAAAAAAAAGAATAAAACCACCCAACTTATATCAATTCAGAAGAATTTTTTTTAAGAATAATTCAGTAGACACTTAAACTACAAATCTCGATGGGCAAATGTCGGAGAGTTGGCAGAATAAACTAACTCTGCACAGTATCACGTGCAATATGCACAATTCTTAGGATGCCACATCACGATTTACTGGTCAAGTGAACATAATTTCCTTAATTAGGTGTCCTGAAGTGATCCTTCGGATACCCACAAGGTAATTTAGCATTACGTCTGATTAAAGTCCGGCGTATTGTATCTTGCACACATTAACTATAACTATTCTGCGCACATATCACAAGAACCTAAATATATTAAATCTGGAAAACATTTCCACTTTCAGAGGGTCTGTCAACTACAAGACAAAAGATGAGGAACGCATGGAAAATACCTTATTATATCATCAGGAACATTCAATGATTCTAAACTCTAAGGCTTCGTTTGGTTCCTAAGATAAGATTAGTCAAGAGAAGATTAAATAATCTAATGAAAACCCAATTATATTATTGGACCATGGGAGGTCCAACAAATTATCTTCCTAAAGGCAAGAGAGGTCATAATAAAATAATATTTTCGGGTTGACCCGGAAAATTATTGGGTTTACCAAACATCATACAAAGTCCAATTATTTAGTTAACAATCTCGCCAACCAAACGAGGCCTAAAGAGATATTCATACAGTAAACATATATGCAAGGGAGCAAGCTTTCATATCATGTACCTGTGAGTCAAGAAAAGTGCAAGCAGCCTCAAGAGCAACTTCAAGTGCTCTAAACTCAAACGGCAAATAATCAGGCGAAGAGTTTGCAAACATATTATCGAAATTTCTACTTCCTCTCCTTCTGTGCACCTCATGTCCCTCAGACTGCCAAACCTCACCCACACCAGCAGCTTGCAATCGCCTCTGTAGCTCCACAACGTACTGCAGAACATAACTATCAAGAGAGTTCAATAGTAAAACCTCGTCCGCAGTTATAATACATCGAATCTGCTCAAGATTTACAACAATAGCCTTCTCCCTGCCCAGTATGGTCGAGGGGTAAACAAATAAAGGGTCCAACAGCCTTAGATCGCGTGCAGGAAGATCACAACGACGCATCATTGTGAACTTATCAACCTCGATCACTTGGGAATTCCCGGAAACATCCACACGAATCCATGATCGAAGGCCCTGCCCGCGTTTTTTCAGGCCCGAAACGTCAACTCCTTGAAATGGGAGACGACCAGAGGCGGAGGGTCTGTATGAAGAGTCCCTAAGATTTAAAGCTGATGCAGGTTTTGATGGGAGCAGACGTTCTTTTAGGTCTGCCATCACCAAAGAGGTCTACAAAATGCCGAACAGAATTTCAGTAATTAAAAATGGAGGCAGTTTATCTAATTCTTGAAAAAAAAAAGAGTATTCACTCATGGCACATTGTATGAAGAAACTATCAATGAGTTTTGCATACCAAGGTTAGTTTTAGTTTCTTGAAATTGTGATACACGTGAACTCAAACTCGATAGGCATGACTACTATCCCCAAAATTCGATTACCTTGAAATCAAAAAGGCAAACCTCGAAGTAGCCAAACAATACCGATTCAAGAAACTCAGGTGGCAAGATTCAATTCAAAAAAGCATTAAAATCACATAGTATCAAAAGAACTCTTAATTCCCTATCTCATTTTTTTTCTCCGCAGAGCTAGGATACAAAAATTCAACGAATACATTCAGTTTAATCAGGTCAAATATTGATAAATTTATCCAGAACAAAAAAAAGTAATCAGAAAAGGCGGGATAAACAATCCAATCCAACAGTGAATTTCCAGAAAATTACCTCTATTTGAGGCAAACAAACTAGGGTTTCTCCACTCAGTCCGTGAATCTGCCGACCAAACCAAATCAAAATGTTCAGCCATAAACTAATTCAGATTTAAAAAAACCCACAAACACACACACCAACCAAAAATGACAATTGTTCATGAATTCTGCGGTGAAAAAATCCAAAAAAAAAATGATGATTACAAAAAAACAAAGGATATTACCTAAAATAACGAATCAAATCGCCGATTGATTATTGACGGCGGAGGAGCGGCCGCAACCGCGGCGGATACCGGCGGAACAAAGAAGAAACCTTGGAGGAAACAATCAAATGATGAGTTACTGAATAGTAGGAGGAATGATGATTAGTTGTATCAGTAATCAGATACACTTTTGTTTTTGGGTGGAAAAGTAGAAACTGACGAAAACAAAAGGGCATAAAATAAATATTAAAAAAAAACAAAACATTCAGTTATGCCAGGATTTTGGGGGCCCAAATTTCTATGCCTACAATTTATTTTATTTCTACTTCTAGTCCCTCAACTTTTGTTTCCGTTCATGTAATTCTGGTATTCCCATGTTTCAAATTAGATATGGATTTGGAATATTTCCTTATTTCATACTTGAGAATTTAATGATGCATTAATTACTTATTTTTTCAAATATAATTAATGACTCTCTTTTTATTTCGCATAAGTAAATATTAATTTTATTATTATTTGTGAACAAATTTCACTCTTCATTTAGAATCTTTTATTTCAATCTACGAAATTTCGTATCAATTTTTCCTAATTTTGTTTGAATTGGAAAATTTTATACAATGTTCCGATTCTCGATTTGATATTTTCAAGAAATATTTTCGAAAATTCTCATATTTTTTGACGGAATTCGGAAATTCCTATTTATAAGACAAAATTGTTATGTATTTTTATAGTTTAGGTGGATAAAGAAACAAAATTTCCGAACTTCAACTATTTCGATTCGAAAATTTTCTACTTTGGAATTAAATTTAAGTTTTACTTTCCGACATTTTTCACATTACTAAGAGGAGCAAGCGACGGCACATGAATTCGCGAATTCGAGCACAAACCGAGATCCAACTTAGAATGAAACCAGTACCGCTCAACAACGAAATCAACACCGAATATACCATAAAATATTTCATTTCATTCAATAAATAGATACACATTATAAATAGGGAATTCAACTAATTCCCTTATCTTCATACCATAAATAAAATATGTACACATAGGGAGACCAAAGGAATAAAGATGATTATATACAACAAAAACACCTCAAAACATCTTCAACAACTTATGTACATTGTAAAAGATGTGGGCATTTTTTTTTCTTCGTCGTCAAAAAAAGGAAAAAGAAAAATTATTTCGAATAATTTGCAGGATCAATCAATCATATGTAAGGATTGATGTGTGAAGAGTAATCACGAATACCGGCTCCTTCATAACCCATCCACTCTTCCCACAGCTCGTAATCTTCATCGAAGATTCCTCTCATTTCATTGTCATCGTATTGCTCGTAGATCTCCAAAATCGGTTGGGTCGGCTCTCCCCTAAGATTACTCATCACAATCTGCATTATTAATACCATCACAAACATATGTTAGATTCGTTAACTCAATAACTAGTTTGATCGAAAGAAATCAAGAAGTTGTCTCGATGAGCGATTATATTCAAATCAAATATATATTACGGTCTTATAGATGCTATATCCGGTGAAGTGCGCTAGATATGTATCTTATTGTACACTAAGGTCTCGTTTGGTTGCCAAGAAAAGGTACAATGAAAGACATGATAAAAGAAACAACAAACAAAATCCAATTATTCAGTTAGCCATGGCTAATTTTCCCAACCAAACTAGGCCTAACACAAATATTTGTACACATATAACATATATACAATACACTCATAGACTATGCATAACTCCATATTGCCCAAATAATCGAGATATTAAATCCAAATTAGGCTAATTAATCGGCATCTTTTGGCAGTTAATTTCACAATTTTTCGAAAGGTCCAAGCCAATAAAGAGGATCATATTCACCCCACCGACACAAATTAGGCTTCGATCTTATCATAGAGAATACAAAATTGGAATAATGCAACTATAATATTTCTAATCCACACAATTAAGAGAGAGATTAAAAGGTAATTATCATTAATTTAATAACAAGCAAAAAATACAAATAAAAGTTGATTTATGAGGTTAATTACTTACATCGTATGCTTCATTGATTTGGTGAAACTGGACACCGCAATTGCTTCCTCTACACACATCTGGATGATACTGCAATCAAAATCAAAATCAAAAGGTTAATAAAAATTAAATATTAAAATCTTTAATTGTTATTAATAAAATAAAATAAATCAAAATAAGGAAAAAAATATTAATGCACCACGGATTTGAAAAAACAAAAAGGGTCAACTGATGTAATTAAGATAGCAAAAAATATCATCTGGAATGGATAAATAGCTTTAATTACAATTAATCATTAATCATTAAAAAGAAAAATCTATTATCCAATATTTCAATATTTTCAGCTTGCCAATTTCAAATCACTAGATCTAATTTCAATTTCATCATATAATCTAAAAATAGTATAAAAAAAATTAAAAATTAAACACAATTAGAAAAAAAAAATTAAAAAAAAATCCTAGAATAAAAAACAGATTTTTAGCCCAACAAAATTATTTAATACAAAAATAAAAATAAAAAATAAAAAAATTACCTGAAGAGCAAGCTGCCTGAAAGCCTTGCGAACCTCGGATTCAGATGCACCGGGGTTAATCCTCAAAGTTTTGTACGGATCAGAAACAGCAGAAGAAGAAACACATGAAACCCTAAATCCCTTTTTTTTATTATTATTTTTATTAAAGTTCTTCAATTTTTGTCTCGACGAATTCACAGCCAAAGCACCCGGCGCGTATCCACAACCCACAGCAGCAGACATTCTTAATTTTTTTTGTTGTTGTCGACGAATTAGCGAAACCCTAAAATCCAGTAATTTCGAAGATCCTGAAATCACACAATACAATCGAAGCTAATATATATTTATATATATACCTCTCTCTCTCTCTTCTTTCTCTCTCTATGAATAATTGGCACGGAACGACGATGTTGATGGCGATGGAGATATATATAATAATAATATTTTAATACTTAGAGATTAGGAATTGGGGTTAATGAGGAGGTGACGCTTTTTGAATACAATATTGGAACCAGAGAAGAAGAATAAACAAAGAAGGATTCTATACACACATGGATAATGGAAGATGCTTTATATACACATATATATATATATATATATTATATTGTGTGTGTGTCTGCGTGCTGACGTGTAATTATGGGTCCTTATCTAAAAGCCTTTGGGGGTGAGGGGGTGGTGGTTTTTTTTTAGGGTAAATTACGAAAAACTCCCTAAAATTAGGCTAAACAACTAAAACACCCTCATCTATCCATAATAACCAAAATCCCCTTCTGATCAACCGCTGATCGAGTTTTATAATAGAAAATGTGTACAGTTTATTATACCTTATGTTAAATAGGTGAGAAATAAAAAAATATCTAAAATTGTGTAAAGTCTATTCCCTGGAATAAAAAAAAAAAAAAGTCCATCAAAAGTCACACTGTAAGGGGTTCGTGTAAGACGGAAACAAACCTCAAGGGGCTTTTGGTATTTACGAACAGGTTGAGGTGGTTTTTGTAATTTAATTTAATTTTAGGGGGGTTTTCATAATTTACCTTTTTTTTTAACGTATATTGGGGGTGTGGACAGAAAAATGGGGTCAGTGAAGACGAGCTTATCCGTCCTTTGGCCTTTTGCTATTGTCCTAGTCAGATTATTTATTTATTTATTTATTAACATTATTGGGTATTTTATATATTTCTTATTTCTAATTGGGGAATATGCTTTTTACTATTTTCTTTAATTTGATTTTATTGGATATTGTATCTATAAAACCGAATAATTGAATACAAACTGTTTCGAAATAAAAATGGCAAATTACGATCAGCCCCTGAAGTAAGATTAAGTTACGAAAAATCCCTTTTATTTGTCTTGTATGTACATCTATACCATGTTGAATGTACTTATTGAATGATGAGTGTTTATGAATGACAATACATAGTTGAGGGTTAGTTGTAATTACCCAAATAAAATTGATCTTTTTTGTAATTTAATTTAACCTCAGGGGTGGTAGGCGTAATTTGCAAAGCAATGGTACCATTTCAAAGCAATATTTGAAAATATTGCAGATGTGATCCAATAAGTTCTCCTATTTTGGTGGTGATTCGGATAAAATTACCTTTTTAAAATTTATTTGTTTTACGTTTGTGGTTATAAATTGTATATTATCTACGCAAAAATAGATTATTTATGGATAATTGGATATATATATATACTTGATAATATCTACTTATCCACAAATGGATAGACTCAAATTCTTCGTGTTGACACTTGTAAGCCATGCACACTTGATTTTCTCAAAATTCTAGGTCCAATATAAATTTGGCCAATGAAATACATTATGTACTATTAAATAATAAATAATTATTCACTGAGCACGAAGAATATATTTATATACATGTATAATTATGTGTAGATCGATAATGTAAAATTAAATAGTATATGTCAGCATATGTTGGTTACATAAATCCTATGTAGAAATGATTAAAATATGTCCTTCCCACTAATTTTATTTTTTTATTTTATTAATTAAATGAAGTAGAATTATATAGGTTGACCATAGGATAGGTTTTGATTTGAGGGTGCATTCCCGCGAAATTTCAAAAACTTTTATATTAAGCCTCATTAATTAAAAAAATGATTTTCCTACGATCTTTTGAATTAATCAAACGCAGAACAAATTAAAAACGTGTGTCCATTAGAACCACTCCGACTGTGTATATTATATTATTATTATTATAACCAAGTCTTCAGAGACTCATTCATTGATGAGTTTTAATTAGTTGATATTTCAAATTAATTAATTAATATGGCGATAAGTTAAAAAAGAAATTGCTGTAAAAGCTACAAGTTGCATAGATGAAGATATTTACAAAAATAAATTAAATGCCTATATTTTGACAAGACTTGGTGCAAAAGCTACAAATTGCATATATATGAAGATATTTGACTGATTAATTAATTATATAATTAACATGCAAAACGTTTTGACATTTATTATGGACCCTATTATTTATTATTATTATTATTATTATTATTATTATTGAATTGTGAGAGGTGTGAAAAGTAAGTGGATGGATGAAGAGAGAGACAAAATGGCTAAGATATTAAAATAATTTATTTAATGTTAACAGTTGAATATAATACTTCAATTCTTATTTAATATAAAATTCCATGGAAAAGGAAATAGAGGAACGAAGGATATTTTAAAGAAACAGATAGAGAATCTGTGGAGGAGGACAAAGCACTCACTTTATTATAACTACTTAATCAGGATCGATATTTTCACAAATTATAAATGGTGGTCGATTTTGGATTTCAATTTTCGATTTCGCTTTCGATTTATGATGACAAATTTACCACAACGGATGAAGTCTACATTATTTAAAATCAACAGTTAGGGGATGAAAATTAGACAAATCAGATCGGAACTAGAACTTTCGAAAAAAAATCAACTTTTTCCGTAAATATAAATATTATTAGTATTCATGTAATATAATAAAGTATTTTAGGGTAATTTTGTATTTTAAGTGTTTTAGTAAAGAAGCAAATAAGATCTTAAAGAAAAAATGTGGGGTAGAGGTATTTTTTTAAAAACATCTTATAAGCTCCCTAACAGCTTATTTTTGGAAAAAATAAGATATTTTCCAATTTTTTTACCAAACACCTTTTAACAACTTATAAGCTCCTAAACATCTTATAAGATATTTTTAGGAGCTTATAAGCTTAGCCAAAGAGGCTCTTAATCAAAATTGACAGAATTCAAAGATTCTTTTTTTTTTTCCCCCGAATCACCTATAGTATAAAACACATAATAATAATTATGTTATAAGTGTAATTTTCAAAAAAAAAATTAAAATAATGGAGAAAAATCTGAAATAAAAAAATCAGGAATTCGAAATGTAAAATATTACTCGGAAATCATAAATTTCCGGATCAGAATTGACGGAATTCGAAAATCCCGTACGAGTTTTCAACTTTTCACCCTTACCTATAACAAAAGGAAGAGATATTCCCCATTACACAGTCAACATGAAAATGAAAGGTTCCATATCAGGCTAAACAAAGTCTTAAACACCTATCCACTATTCTCAAAATAGAAGTGCTCACAAGGTTACACGAACACGTTTAGGACCACCTCGAGTTCACGTCTGGTTCATTGAACCACGCAATCATTATACGCCAAACACATTCCTAATCGAAAAATCCAAAATTTCATGGCTCCACAACACACTTGGCATATAGAAAAATATCTAGCGTACCAGAGAAAACAAGGAACAACCATTTCGATTTTCAGATAGTTCGTAAAAATTGTCTACTATTATTCTTCCAACCTGATTAACTGAGCCCTTATTTGCGCAATACATGTCACAATTGCCCAACTGAAACGAACTCATCGTAAAAAGTCGTGTAATATTGGGATTCATTCCTAAAAAAAAACAGAAAGATAATTGCCTAAAAAAAGCAGCAATATTTACTAAGAGCTGTCAAAAATATACCATGTGCAACGTCTAGTATCTGTAATCTGAACGAGTTTTTTAAGACTAAGTCAGATTAATGTCGCCCCGGAATTTTTGGTAAGAAGTGTACTACTGCTGTACTAACGGCAGAGGCAGTTCCTCGTTGGAGGGCGATTTTTTTACCTCGAGAGGTTTTTTGAATTGAACCAAGATCATGGTCATGTTATCGCAGCCATCTTGACCAGAAGACGGGGCCAAACAATTGCTTAGTACTTTTTCACACACCACCGACAGCTTCTTCTCCTGTGGATTTTTAAGACACTTGTTAATTTTCACCTCCCATGCATTTGAAATGTGTCGTAACGGTTGAACGAAAAGAAACTTACAGTTTTGAGCTGTTCTTTCACGAAATCAACAGCTCGTTCACTTGTCATGCAATCCCTAGCAAAATAAAATTTTCATATACATAATGTACATAAAATATCTATGATATACAACTGTAATTTTGTTAATAAGAAACACAAACGAGAATTAATTTCGGCAAGTGGGATTAGAAGTTGCTGTTCTTCATCTCCAAACACATTACATGCTAAGAATTTAAATTTGGCTAATGAAACCATACGGAAATTTTCTTCATGTAAAATTATATATTCTTGCCAATGCATATATTTACAGAGTCGCTACATAGAATTGATATAAGAGAAGAATCTCTTATGGAACAAATAATACAGTAACATAAAGACAGCTTCTAAACATATAGGACCAGCAAAGAGAGAAAAAGAAAGAAAAAAAACTTACCATATCCCGTCACAGGCGATTATAAGAAAATCATCATCTTCAGAAAGCTCAACCTATTACAGAAGGGACAACAATAGAAAATCGGTCACGTTTTCAAAGAAATATCGGCTTTGAAAGCAAGTATGACAATATGAAGGACATATAGTTATGAAACAGCTTTTCTTTCGTCACAGAAATTGAGAGGATAAAAGTAAAGATTCCACATACAGTAACTATATCTGGGTCTGCTGTCACAATTTGCTGTTCTGCAGGCAATGATTTGTTTTGCTTCATTTCCATATCACCTGAAAGTATTTGAAACTATCGATACTGAACAAAGGAAAAAAATCCAGCACTCTCTCACAAACGTCTTAAATAGATGTTAAAATTGTGCAAAGTACCAATAGCCCTTGACAAGTTCAGGCTCCCATTGACCCGCCCATGTTGTACATAACCACCGGCCTCCAATATCCTTCTCTTCTCATGATCAAGATCTGGTTTATGATCCTTGGACATTTCATGTGCCTGCACGAAGTTATTGCAAAAATTTTGTGCATATTACGTAAAATCAACAATCACAATAGTCGTTACTAAATTGCAAGCACACGGCATGAACTAGAAAAAATTCTCAAGTACATTTGATAAATTCAATTAGCCATCTGAGTAGTTTTTGTCCTCAAAGGAAAAACCTGCATGAATTTAAAGGCTAGTTTTTGACTCACAAACAGTAAAAATGTAAAGGAAAATTAAAATAATTTCACCTCTCCGTTCCGAGACATGACGCATCGAGAGTCGCCCGCATTTGCAACAAGCAGTTGGTTATTTCGGATCACTGCAACACAAGCAGTACTTCCAGCACTTGGACCCTTATTAGCAGAGTGATTTCCCTGCATTTCAAAACATATTTAGAAATCCTTGTGTGCCATATGTCTTGTTAAGTTTCGGTTCACATGAAGGCGACACAATATATAAGGGCCATATTTGATTAATGCTGGCTGGCTTAAACAGGAGTTGACTTAAAATACAGAAAAAACTGGGGAATCTGAAAAAAAGGAAAGGAGAACGAGTGAAATAAGAGGTCTTAGGAATATAGAATTACCGAATTCTGAACAAGCTTCAACATCATCAAACCGCCAAGCATAAATAAATTAATATTTTGAATAAGGAAATTAGCAAGTATTTGGTATTGCCATCAAAATTCACGTACCAAAGAAATCCCGGAATCTAATTGAAGGCTGAAAAACACTACAATATCAATTAATTCGATTATTTTTTCCACTAGACGGTTTACCGAGTATACTGAACATGCACCTTCTCAGAAGACCAGTAGTCTGTTTGGTCATTATCTTCCTTAGCCTTTGGTTGGTCCCCTTTGCCCCTTAATGTTGCCAACTCTTTCCGTCCATTAATTCCACACATCATTTCATCCATTCTGTAATGGAGAAGAATATGACATTAAAAATTTGTATGCATAATCATCAAATGGTGATTATAAGATATAGGTAAACATATGTTATACTATCAATCAACAAATAAAAAGAATTACAATAAACCTTAGGAAGGCCTTTCTAAGAGATGTTTCCAGATCGCCGGCTGCATATGCATCACTCCCTAGCACCTGTTGATGAAGAAACTTCGCACAAAATTTGGAAACTTCTTCACCTGCAGAGAGTAATGATTTCATGATGTTAAATTGTTAATAAGAAATTGCAACAGCCATAAAAAAAATAACAAGGTTCCTAATAAACTTGGGCAGTAAATACTATTTTAACTAACCGCATATTCAAAATTATGTTCATACAAAAGCCGACGAACTAATTCCACACATTTACTTCAGAACTACTAAAGTACTCCACAAAATACGAGTTAATTATTGCACAATCTCAAACATCAGCAGAATCTGTTTCTTTTGTCATTTGAAAAATACGCATGTCAATGTCATTTGGTTAATTCTGCTTATTATTATCTCAATTCTTGAAGCAGGAATACGTCTCTTAACCAATCAGAACTCGTATGCAGAGCCAAAATTGTGAACAAGCCTTGTGTTTCTAACTAGAAAACCTTTTTCCTTTTCTAGGTGAAATGATTATCAATTAAAAGTAAAACTGAGGCTACTTTTAAAATCAGTATGAAGCCAATAAATCGAGCGGAGTTGAAATGTAGGCAAGAAAACTCATTAAGATTGGAAAGTTAAGAGATCAAAGTTTACCCCCATGGCCATCATAAACTCCAAAGAAAGAAGTCGAATCATCCAAATGAGAGAATGCAGCATGCTGTAGAATAACTCAAGCCAAGACGAAAAAAAACACGAGACTGATAAATTAAGATCTTAGATATGAAATACAATTGACCATATTGAACTATCTAAGAACCACAAAGCATTCAGCCTTTCTCACAAAGGATAAATATAATGTCAAGTGTTAAGCAACTGATAGAGCAAATAATGTGATTACATACCAGATAAATCTAATATGCATCTTCTAAATTCATAACCATATAACATCATATGTCCTTTCCTCTGAGTTAAATACAGGGGCTCCTAAAATCACTCAACTATTCGATAGTGATGCACTCATTCATCGTCTAATCCAGTTACGTAAGAAAATAGAACTTCTCAAGATATTTCAATGTTAGATCCAGTAAAAACCACAGAACGTCAAGTCAGTGTTAGATTCATCTTCTCCAAATCAAATTGCGAGTCTCTACAACACATATAATTATTAACTGCAAATATAAAGAACTGTTGAAGTTCATTCCATATCGTACTGCGCCATCAAGTCATACTTTCCAATGGTCATTGACGTTATTCTTCAATATAACATTTTCCAGGAGGAAATTAAAAAAGAAGGATTATCCCATCGTTCGATAGAAGCCTGTCAGAACGTATATATGCTACTGGATGTTAAAAAGGAACAATACAGTCCTATAACCAATGGTATATAACAAGCACTATAAAAATGAATTCCTATAATATAAGAAGCGCTATATTATAATTTATGCAGAAAAATAAATATCATAACAAATACGGCATATTACAAAAACTACATCATTTCTAATGGATGAAATTGTTTCAGAGTGACAACAACTTAAGCTATGTATTCAGAGCATTATAAAAGGAGAATGATATTTACAGCATCTTCCATTGTTGCTCGCCATCCCTGCATGGATGATAATCCGAATCTAAGCATGTCGTTCTCACCGTCGTTTGAGATCTTTTCAGTCTTGGGAGTGCTCAGATATACCCCCATTTTAAGCTGCAAGAACAGATTATTATTGTATCACAAATCTCATATATGCTCATATATGCATTCATATACAATACTCTTTTATGGAGGCAATTAGAGTTTAATATGGTCATTTTAAGTGTCATTACAAACAATAAATTCAATGACGTAGACTGGCTTTTACAAGATACTGTTGTTTTGATTCAAACTTGTATCGAGAATTCATCAAAATTTGCCCAAATAACTTCATGAATACAATGTCTACAAGTTCTAGTATGATTGTATCTAACTTCCCATTGCATAGATACATAAATATACATATATGAATTACGCATATTCATACGCAGAAATCTACACACACACACACGCACATAGAATTCCACTGTTCAATAAGAACAGTATATGAAGTATGTGTATTCATACGCACAAATCTACTAAATCACACACACACACACACACACACACACACACACACACAAAAGCACACACACACACATAGAATTCCACTGTTCAATAAGAACAGTATATGACGTATGTATATTCATACGCACAAATCTACTAAATCACACACACTGACACACAAACACACACACACACATAGAATTCCACTGTTCAATAAGAACAGTATATGAAGTATGTATATTCATACGCACAAATCTACTAAATCACACACACACAAACACACACAATTCCACCGTTCAATAAGAACAGTACATGAAGTATGCATATTATACGCACAAATCTACAAAATCACACACACACACACACACACACACACACACAAACACACACACACACACAGAATTCCACTGTTCAATAAGAACAGTATATGAAGTATGCATATTCATACGCACAAAAATATAGTAAATCTCTTTAACACACACATACACAAATCTCTTTAACACACACATACACACCCAGAATTCCACTTCAGCACATATAGAATTCCACTGTTCAACAAGAACAGTAACATTTGCGACAGGAAACTGAAAAATAAACACAGAACAATTTAAATCGAGAAAAATCCACACACACACAAAAAAAAAAAAAAAAAAAAAAAAAATTGATCGCGAACAAACATCGGAGAATAAGCACAAGCGATTAAAAATTACAGTCGGAGACAAACCAAATGGCGTGAAATTGAATTTCCGATTCTTCAAACAATGTGTCAGAGCAGCGTGTGCTCACCTATGCGGGAAAAAAGAGATTGATTGATCGATAATTTGTGATTTTGATGTGGCAACTGTTTTTCGTGTGCAGTTTCTTGAAGAATGGAGGAGCTATACTACTCAAATTGGAGAAAACTGCAAAGAATAAGAGCGGGCTTTATGGGCCATGAATTCGTAAAGCCCAATACAACTACGGGCCTAATATAGCCTAAAATAGATTTGTGTTTTATATTATTTTAATTAAAATTTTATAAATATTTACTTATTATATATACTAGCATTTTTTCCCCGTGAGATGCACCGGGATATTATTTAAAAATTAAAAAAATAATAAATTTAATACAAAATAAGAAAATATAGTACATAGTAAAATTTAATAACATTAGTTTTTTTTTAAATATTGCAGATTAAGATTTATAATCCAAATGTATAGATTAAGATTTAACAAATCGAATTTCTATCTTTACCTATTAAGATTTGAAATATATTGATGAAAAATAGGAGATTGATAATTGTTGAAAATTATAGTAAAAGAATTAATAGAAAAAAATATTAAAAATAATTACAGAAACACCATTAGAGTTTTTTAGGGTTGCACAACGTTTCTTTCTTTTATATATAAGATAAGATATAAGATATATAAATAATTTCAATTAACGCAGAGGAAATTGGGAAACTGTAATTTTGATAAAAAAATAGGGTCCCGAAATATTTTTGTATACACTTTATATATTAGTATTTAATTCTGTTAAATTTATAATATATGTAATATTTAGAACCTCAGTTCTAATATAAATCTAAAATCAACGTTCATTATCTATTTTCATATTTTCTTTTAATCTTGTGACCCCTAAATATTAAATTTATAATATTTTAGTTACTTATTTTTATTATTACTAAAATAAAAATCACTATCCATTATGTATTAAAATTTTATTATTAATAGTTAACTCATCTTCGCATCTATTTAAGTGAGAGTATACATTCTTGTACCATGTAACAAAAAAACGAGTAATCTCTCGTTCCCATGGCCCCTATTCCCTAGCACGACAGATTTTGATAGATGAATGTAAATCATAACGACCTAACGATTCGTTAGAGTAGCAGATCTGGAGTACACAATGAACCAACATCCCAGTGAAATTGAAATTCCCACACTGCAACTGCGGTACTAAACCATTGATTGAAATCTTGTACCAATTTATTATCTCATAATCAGTTGAGCTACCCACGCATGCGAGCTTGTTTTTACTACCTTTCAGCTCCTTAAAAAGTTGGTTCCTAAAATTCTAGTTATGTCAATTATTCAAAGAAAATCTAATTCACCCGTGCAAAGAACCATCACCACTAAAAAAAATATATATCAAAAATTGTAATTTAAAATTTCATTTTAATGTAATAATTTTTCGAATCGAAACCGACGAAATTGATAATTTGTGTATAATTTTCACCCCTAACCACATGCAATGAAGGGCTAGGGTCATATTCTCCACCCCTAGTTTATTGATTGCAGCCGCAGGCCATCTTTCCACCCCACCCTTATGCTCTAATCAGGGTTAGGCAGGCTAATTATGTAGGATTAATTACATATACATAGTATACAGGCTATAGCAACTTACTTAGCTCTTTTTAAATATTTTAATTAAGTTAATTGGTGGTGTTTAAATTAAAAACCTTTATTAGATATTATATTGACTATCCCCTCCATTATTTAATTATAAATTAATATTTGGGTGGGGGGGGGGGGGGGGTACTGTCATAAAAAATTTTTTTGGGGGAAAAACCTCCCCCAAAATTTTTTATTCCTATTCCCCAATTTAAAAGTAATATAAAATGGATAAACCTAGATTTTAATTTTAAAAATCCTAAAATCCAGATATATTTTTTTCTAAAAAATATTAATGGCCAAATTTGATGTATTATTCTAACAAATTAAATTAGCCAATTAATTAGGAGGGTTTTTTTTTTTTTTTTTTTTTTTTTTTTTTTTTCTGTATAAAAAAAATGAAAAAAAATATGAGAAAATATTTTTTTTTATCGAAAGTCAACACGTGTATATAAACTCCAATCCCCTCTGATTGTTTTACTCCTCGAAATAATTAAGACTAATTAGTAATTACAGCAGCAGCGAGAAAAGCATGAAATTGTACGTGAAGAAGTCAACGCTGGTGCGGCCGGCGGCGGAGACGCCGCGCGTCAGCCTCTGGAACTCCAACCTGGACCTGGTGATGCCCAACTTCCACGTCCCTATTATCTACTTCTACCGCCGCCCCACTGCGGCAGCGGACTTCTTCGACGCGGCGGTGCTGACGGCGGCGCTCGCCCGCGTCATGGTGCCTTTCTACCCGGTCGCCGGAAGGCTGAAGAAGGATGTGAATGGGCGGTTCGAGATTGACTGCAACGCGGAGGGAGCGCTTTTCGTGGAGGCGGAATCCGACGGCAGGCTTGATGATTTCGGGGAGTATTTTTCTCCCACCTCCGAGCTCCGCTGCCTTGTACCGGCGGTGGATTATAGCCTGGATATTTCTGCCTACCCACTTTTGGTGTTGCAGGTGTGTTCTTTGTTTTACACTACTAAAAAAAAATAAAAAAAATATATAAAGCTCATGAGCCGACTCGTGATCGTCAGTTTTGCTACTGAGATTGAACCCTACAAAATTTAGGCTCGATTTCGAGCTAATTAAAAAAAATCGTGAGTTATTTTAATTATTTAATTTACACCCCCCTATATACTATACATGCATGGGACTACTAAATTCCAAAATATTTGAATTTTTTTAAGAAAACTCTACATATATATATATATATATATATATATATATATATATATATATATATTCGGTCCGTTTTATATTATAATTTGATGAAGCTTGCTGTTAATTAATTAGGCCTAATATGATTTATTTTCTTGTTAAATGTATGTCTTTAATCAAATTAGCCTAATCGAATCCGTATTGTTTTGTTTTGTTTTATAACTTAACATTCAAATTGATATAATTTATCTTAACAATTAGGTAAGCATTCAAAAGTAAATAAAACTAGCACTTGTAACATGCATGATGCATGGTAATGAAATTAAATTAAACATACATATATTTATCTTTAAATAATTAAAGAACAAATCTGTAGCTGTATTAATTAATACAGGTAATCGACTTGGTAAATCTACACTCTCGTACAATATACGTAAACTAACTTAAATGTGCATGCAGGTGACGCATTTTAAATGTGGTGGAGTGTCCTTAGGTGTCGGAATCCAACACCACGTAGTCGACGGACTTTCCGGCATCCATTTCATGAACACGTGGTCCGACATGGCCCGTGGCCATGGCGCCCCTGCATTGCCTCCGTCCATCGACCGGAATATTCTCCGAGCCCGCAATCCGCCTCGGTCTGAATTCGAGCACATCGAATACCACTACCCTCCGACACCCGCTTCTTCCGACGAAGACCGGAGCACCACCACGGCTGTTTCGGTACTCAAGCTATCCAACAACCAGCTAAACAGCCTCAAGTCCAAGTTCAAATCACCGGACGGGAACAGCTCCTACACCTCGTACGAAATGGTGGCCGCACACATCTGGCGGTGTGCCACCACGGCCCGGCGCCTGGCGCCGGAGCAGGAGACCAAAGTCTACATCGCGACCGACGGGCGGTCAAGGCTCCTCCCGCCGCCGCCGCCGGGCTACTTCGGCAACGTGGTCTTCACCGCCGCGCCGGTGGCGGCCTCGGGCGACATCCGGGCGCAGCCGGTCGGGTACGCCGCGGGTAAAATTCGAGACGCGCTGGCAAGGATGGACGACGAGTACATGAGGTCGGCGCTCGATTACTTGGAGCTGCAGGACGACGTGAAGGCGCTTGTTCGTGGGCCCCACACGTTTAGGTGTCCAAATATGGGGATAACCAGCTGGGTGAGGATGCCTGCTTACGTGGCGGATTTCGGGTGGGGTGGGCCCGTGTATGTGGGGCCAGGCATGGTTGCCTATGAAGGGCTGTGTTACTTGTTGCCTCCTCCTCGTTCGGCGAACAAAGACGGCGGCGGCGGCTTGTTGGTGGTGATCTCGTTGCAGAAGGAACATATGGAGATGTTTGAGGAGCTGCTCTATGACATTTGAGTGTGCTTATTGTTTTTGTTGGTTTTGTGATCTTCCAAACTTTGGCAATAAAATTTTAATTAGCATTGTTTTCTGATATTTTATATCTATGTTTCGAGTTTCGGGTTTTCGGGCTTTTAGGGTTTCGGGTTCGGTTTTGCTTAAGCCATATTCGGGTGCCGAAATTAGGGCAAATATTGGGGATTTTGGTTTGGCGAAGACGGAAAGAAGTTCGAAGAAGAGGAAAACATTGGAACCCTATTGGAGGGGTACCCCTATGTATTTATCGCCCGAGGCTATGATAGATAAAGTGCAAGAGGCACTTTCCGAATTCCGATATTCGGGCACTTGGTTGTATTGTGCTTTATATATGCTAACGGGAAAGTTTCCGTGGGAAGGGGAAAAATCGGAAGAAATAATTGGGAAAATAGGGGGCAAGGGGTCAATTGCCTAAAGTCCCAAACGAGATATCGAAGGAGGCGAACGATTTTCTAAAGGGAAGTTTTGTGAGGTGGTCCGTTTTCATACATACTTCTGAAATGCTCTTGCATCATCCGTTTGTCGAAGTTTTTGAAAATGATGATGCGGTTGAAGAATCTGTGGAAGTTGAGTTTAGTTGTAAGGTATATTCGGATGAGGATTCGTTTTCGTCTTGGTACGAAGAAGAGTTGGATGAAATAGGAGAAACATAATTTGATGTGGTGGAAAATATTGAAGGTGTTATGCGTTCTGACCAATCAAACGAGACGTCGAAACGGGTCCGGTTACATAGTTTACCAAATAGGAAACAACATTGTCCGGTTAGTTTGGTCACTCCGTTAGGAATCTAACAAACTACTTTGTGAGGCTACACTTAGTTTATATACAGTTAAACCTCTATAAATTAATACAGTCAGAACTAACATCATTCTATATATTAATTTAACGAAATATTAAATTATCGAGCTAATAATTTAGTACGTTTTTACCGAGTCGGGACTGTAAAAAATTATTATTTAAACGAGGTTATTAATTTATCAATGTTCTACTGTATAGAGAGAAAACATGGACTGCAATTCAACTGATCTAGTTGATATGAATTGAAAGACTGATTTCTACATTTTGAAGCACAAAAAAAAAAAAAAAAAATTGTACTCAACAATCACTAAATGTAGAAGAGGATATTCCGAGGGAGGACGAAAATGTGGCCGTGGCATCTCCGCTAAGGTACTTCTTGAGCCGATCCAAATCGTCTGCGCAGTCGAGCATGGTGGGCCGCATAGACGGGGAATCTTGCGTGCAGAATATTCCCAATTCGACGAGCTCTCCGATGGCAACTTCCCACATTTTCCTCACCTCGGGGGTTTGATCCCTCAACGATCGAATGAGTGAATTGTCCAAAGTACCCTCCGTTTGCATGTGGTAGTGATTCTTGACGTACTTGTGCAGGTTTAGACCGTTCACAAACATATCGTCTGTTGGCCTCTTTCTTGTCACCATTTCCAGTACCAGGATTCCGAAGCTGTATACATCGCCCTTTGTCGATGAACTCGATCCAGAACCATACTCTTTAGAGAGAGAGAGAGAGAGAGAGAGGGAGAGAGAGAGAGATCAGTTAAATTCATGGGCAGTTAAGATATTTTACTGTTCTGTTATAAAAATTGACCGGTTCTAATTTGAGGGGATAAATGTGATTTCGATAATAAGACGTTGTATTTCGTAATTTGACCTTATCTCAGGGATGTACTTATAAATTAATTTGTATACAATATAAATGTAAACGGTTCAAATTAGGGGTGGAAATCGGACCGTTCGGATCAGAATGAGCTCTTTCGGGAAAAAAATTATTTTTTATCGGAAGTATAAAACCAATTATAATTACATTCCAAAATATCAAAAAATTCGGAAATTGGAATTTTAGGAAATTGTTTTAAAATCGGAAATTTTCGGACCAGAACCGGCGGAATTCAGAAATTCCAATTTTTCGGTGACGTGCGGACTTTAACATAAAATGTAAACTAATATTGATATTATAAGTGAAATTATCAGAATATAATTGGAAATTTTCAGAAATAAAATCGGATCAGAAGTCGGAGTCTAATTAATATGTATTCCAATTCCCTTTAAAAAATCGGAAAAAATCGAAAATCACAACTTTTGGAATTCATAATGAAAAATGTTTTCAGAAATAAATTCGGATCAGAAGTCGGAGTCTAATTAATATGTATTCCAATTCCCTTTAAAAAAAAAAAATCGAAAATCATAACTTTCGGAATTCATAATGAAAAATGTTGTCCCAATATTGAAATTTTCAGATCCAAATTGACGGAATTCGAAAATTCTATTCCAATTTCCAGTGCTAGATATTTTTTTTTTCTTTGAAAAGTCATAAACAAGATTTTAATGTGTTGAGAAAAAAGAAAAAAAAAAAAAAAAATATATATATATATATATATATATATATATATATATATATATATATATATATATATATATATACCTGGTGCAATATATCCAATGGATCCGCAGAGCATATTAGCGGTGGAGTTGCCCGTATTTTCGATCACGCCGCCGTTAGATTCAACGGTCATGATCAGCCTAGAAATCCCAAAATCAGAGACTAACGCCGTCATGTCATCGTTCAGAAGAACGTTGCTAGGTTTTAGGTCGCAGTGTATGACTTTCACCGGAGAGTGGTGGTGCAGGTAGGCCATCCCTTCCGCAACGTCGCTGCAGATGTTGACCCTCTGTACGAGGTTCAAGTCCGACGATCCCGTCCGGAGGTTGTCGTCGACGGAGTGCGGGTACAAACGGGCGTCTAGGTTTCCGTTCGACATGTACGGCAGAACCAGCGCCTTAAACCCCGGCAAGCTGCAGGCGGTGATGATTCTGATCAGATTCCGGTGGCGGATCCTCTTCAACACCTGGCACTCTCTGTTGAAACTCTTTGTCGAGTTTCCCGTCTGGAATTGCAGCACCTTCACGGCGATTTGCGTCCCGTCTCGAAGGACTCCTCTGTATACTCTGCCGTAGCCGCCGGAGCCGACGAGCCTGCCGTCGTCGAATCCTCCGGTGGCTTCTAGAAGCTCTTTGTAAGTTATTCTCGGAAACTTCTGCGTGATGATTTGCGGTGGTTGATTCTTCTCGTTAGCGGATTGTCTGGACTTGACGATATATCTCAGCCGCCGATAACCGATTGCGCAGCAGATGACTGAAAAAATGCCTGAAAGGAATATGACAGTGCAGAAAACGATCACGAAGAAACGAGACCGGAAATAGTGGCGCCTGTGGTTGCAATTAGGGATACCTCGAATATTGGAGCCACATAGATGAGGGTTGTCTAAGAAAGATGATTTAGTGAGGGAATCAAACACCCCTCCGATGGGAATCTTTCCGGCGAAATCGTTATAAGAAAGATTCAAGAAAGTCAGTGTACCGCTCTTGTTCAAGCTCGTCGGAATATTCCCCGATAACTTATTTCTCGAAACATCAATAGCTGCAATGCTTTTAAGATCCCCTAAAGATTCTGGTAGATTCCCCACGATCGAGTTATTCGAGAAGTTCATCAGCTTCAAAGCGTAGCAGCTCGAAATTAGACTTGAGATGCTTCCGTTGAAATAGTTCGAAGAAAGATCGATTTCTTCGACACTCGCGAGCTTACTTATCTCGATTGGCAGAGGCCCTTCGAGGCGGTTGTTCGAAAGATTGAGAAACATCCTCATTTCGTGAAGGCCCGTTATCTCTGGCGGGACCCGCCCCGTCAATCTGTTGTAGGACAGGTCTAGCTTTTGTAGGGCAGTGCATCTCCCTAAAGTGGAAGGTATATTCCCTTCGAAAAGATTGTTGTTGAGGAACAAAAAGTTTAGGCTCGAAAGATATCCTAGTTCCTTGGGAATTTCACCGGATAAATTGTTGTGGGAGAGATCGATCGAACCGAGATAAGGTAGCTGTCCTAACGGAGCTTCGATTTTGGTGAAGAAGTTGTCCGATAACGAAAGCTGTTCCAAGCGAGATAAATTGCCTATCCCGGCTGTTATAGTTCCACTGAGAAGATTGGATGTTAGATTGAGAAGTGTTAAGTAGGATAAATTCCCGATTTCGGAAGGAATTGATCCGTGTATGCGATTTTCTTGTAGTTGCAGCTTCTCCATATAAACACTCAGCCCGCCGATGGAACTAGGCAAACTCCCACCGAGTCCCAAACCAGCCAATTCCAGCTCCATTAGCTCGCTGCAATTCGCCAGCGAGGCGAAAAAAGGGCCGAGATTCGTATTATTTTCGTGGCTGGTCATGTGATTGTCTGATAAGTGAAGAAAGAGCAGTTCTTGAAATTTAGAGAATAAATCCGAAGGGAGTTCGCCGGTGATGCTGTTGTTCTCCACATCCAAGCTGAGCAACCCCGTCGCATTGCCGAGGGAGAACGGGATTTCTCCTGTGAGTTCGTTGCTGTACAAATTGAGGTTCCACAGCTCGAGGCAGTTTCCGATCTCCGGTGGGATTTTTCCGGCGAGTCGGTTGCCGGAGAAATCGACGTTTTTGAGAAGAGTGCAGTTGGAGAAGAACTCCGGCGGGATTGCTCCATTCAAGTTGTTGTCGTTCAAGAAAATCAATTTGAGGCGGGAGAGGGAGGACAACGAGCCCGGAATCTGGCCTTGGAAGTCGTTGCCGCCGAGTTTGAGTTTTTGAAGGTTCCGGAGAGAGGAGAGCTCCGGCAGGATCTCCCCGTAGAAGTGGTTGTTCACGAGGTGGAGGTAGCGGAGCTGCGTGAGATTAGAGATAAGAGGGGAGAGAGACCCGACGAGAGACGAGTCGTTGAGGTTGATCTCAACTACACGGTGGTGCATTAAGCCGCATTTCACATGCGTGAAGTTGCAAACCGGATTCGAGTCGGCCCAATTCGCGAGCCTCGAAAACGGGTCGAGTTTTATAGCTTTCTTGAACGCCAAGAGGGCGGCTTTATCGGTTTCGATGGAGTGGCGCGGGTGGGGGTGGAGGCCCGAAAGCCCGAATAACGGAACCGAATGGTGGAGTAGGATGGAGATGAGTATGGTGGCTATGTTGAAGAACATGCTTTAGGAGAAAAAAACAAACACTATGGTGTTATTGATGATGATGATTTTGGTTTTCCACCAATATTGGGGTGATGATTTTTTTTTTTTTTATTTACATATTTTGTGATGAATAGTTTTTTTTTTTTTTTTTTTTTTTATGGAAAATAATAAGTTGTTATATCATATATGAGTGAAGGTGGGAAAAGATTTTTATTTTTTTTGGGAAGATTCTTGTTGATCCCAACTTGTAGGCATGATGAGTGGATACTCAACTCAAGATTTAATAGGTTTATTTATTATTGGTGTTTGTGGTTTCGGTTATGATCACTATTTTTTTTTTCATGGATTATGGTTGAAGTTGTATTGATGTAACATGTCATGCTGCTCAAGTGGAAAATGCAATGAGGCATTTTTCTTGGGTATAATTGGATTTTGACTTGTGAGGAGGCTCGACTCGACAATGGTTTGTGATCGTTTGATGTCATTCGACTATGTTTTTTTTAGTTATCGGTATTTCGATTTCTCTACTGGTGTCTCGAACCATGACCAAACAGGTCATAGGTGCGAGGTGCTTACGAACAGACTACATTGTCTCGAGAAAGAAATGCTACCCTTTCTTCTTTCAACATGCTGTCCAAAAATATATTTTTTTTCCAAAATAAAAATAGAAATAGAAATAGAAATAGAAAAACAACAAATGTGGAAACTTTAGCAAACTTTTGCTACAATTTTGTGGCTAGTCCGAAAAAACTTTACAATATTGTTGCCCACGTGAACTTCATGAGCCACTACATTATATTTATCTATATGGTTTTCTTTTAAGCCCACTATCTATTATTCCAAAATTATAAATCATATTTGTTGACACAATTCCTTAAAATATACTATATGTTATCATATTTATTTGTCATCTCAGAACAAATTTTGATACTATACTATGTAGCACGGACACATAAACTGAGGTACGAGAAAATGGAAAACATACTCGAGGAAACAACATGTCCCAAAATGGGAATACATGAACTTTGGAGAAACATATAAATATTAAAAATAAAAGTATATACATATAGATATGTTGTACAAACACATATAAATTTGTATTTATATATTTTCATCCAGTATCAATTTGCAATTGATTATTAAATCATGTAAATAATTACGAAAGCAATAAAAATGTTTGAAATTTTGTTATTTGCATATATTTCTAACTTTTCAGAAATTATAAAATGACCTGTACATTAAGAAATTAAAATGTCAGTGCTACATCATCCAATATGTCATAACTTTAGACTTTACATTACCAATAATTACCATTGCCATCTACATCTACATTGATATATTATAGTATAATATTATTTGTAAATAGTATAGTTTTAGTACACTCCACTATCTACAAATCTTCACTAATCATCATATCCAAATTGATATAGATTTTTTTAAATAATTAATATATCCCAATAGGTTAGTTCAACTAATTAATCCCACTCATTAACACAAAAAAAAAAAGGTATGTAAATTGATATTTTTATGAATTACTTTACCACTTCCTTTTCTTTCACATGTTTCACTTTAGTTATGTTTTTAGCCTTTACTTTCTAGACTTCTAAAGAAAAATTAATGATGACACAAATCCATGCCCTAAAAGCATCATTAGTTACTAATCTCTAGAAATTTTAGTAATTAATACATTTTGTGTAGCAAGTGTAGGTTCAATTCAATGGGCACATTGTAACCACTAATCCATTTGCAGCCTTCTAACCTAATACATTTTCTAAAGAGCACTTCTCATATGTTTCTTTGATAAGCAAATTTCGACCACCCGTAAGATCGAATTACGAAAAAACCCTTCATTGGCCACCCGTAAGATCAAATTACGAAAAAAACTCTTCATGTTTGGATAATTACAACCACCCTCCTCGACTATGATTTTTTTTTTTACAAAAAAACCTATCATTTAGTAGGTAAATTTGTCCAAATATACGGAAGTTTTTCATAATGTAACCGTACTTCAGGGAGTTGGTCGTAATTTGCCAAAATCGCCGCCGTAATTTGCCCTTTGATTCACAATACCAAAGACAAATAAAAACTTCAAAATGCAATCTACTTTGAAAGAAACAATTCTAATTTTATTTCATTACATCAACATAATCTTCAAAGTACAAGAATTTACTTATCCCAAACAAGTAATTTCAAACATAGTACATTACTATATAGCAACAATATCAATTTTTTCACATTGATCTCAAATTCTAGCCCACAAACACTAAAAGAAAACAGAGTAAGAAGCAGAGGATTTAATCAACTTCTTCAATCTTAGGACCAGCACCATTCCCGGAACCAGCCTTACCATAGCCACCACCAGCACCACCATTCATGTCAAAACCGCCGCCCATCGGCACATCTCCGGCGCCACCCTGATACATCTTCGAAATAATCGGGTTACACAAATTCTCCAAATCCTTCAACTTATCCTCAAACTCCTCCACCTCAGCCAATTGGTTCCTCTCCAGCCAATCAATCGTCTCGTCAATCGCCTTCTCGATCTTCGCCTTCTCTCCACCCAATTTCGATCCGATCTTGTCGTCCTTAACGGTGTTCCTCATGTTATAAGCGTAATTCTCCAAAGCATTCTTTGCTTCCACCTTCTTCTTCACCCCTTCATCCTCCGCCTTATACTTCTCCGCCTCCTGCACCATTCTCTCGATTTCGTCTTTGCTCAACCTCCCCTTATCGTTTGTGATCGTGATCTTGTTCTTCACACCTGCAGTTTTATCCTCCGCCGAAACATTTAGAATCCCATTTGCATCCATGTCGAAGCACACGTTGATCTGTGGGACCCCTCTCGGAGCAGGCGGAATGCCCTTGAGCTCGAATTTGCCGAGAAGATTGTTGTCCTTAGTCATAGGCCTCTCCCCTTCGTACACTTGGATCACGACACCTGGCTGATTGTCTGCGTAAGTCGAGAAAACTTGTTCTTTCTTCGTCGGAATTGTGGTGTTTCTCGGTATCAAAACTGTCATCACTCCACCGGCGGTTTCGATACCGAGGCTAAGAGGGGCCACATCAAGAAGCAGCAACTCTTGAACTTTTTGATCCCCTTCTCCGGTGAGAATGGCGGCCTGAACGGCGGCACCGTAAGCCACCGCCTCGTCGGGGTTTATACTCTTGCAGAGCTCCTTCCCGTTGAAGAAATCCTGTAACAATTGCTGCACTTTGGGGATTCTTGTTGATCCTCCGACAAGAACGATATCATGAACTTGACTTTTGTCAATCTTGGCATCTCTCAAGCATTTCTCCACTGGCTCCATACATTTTCTGAACATATCCATGTTTAGCTCCTCGAATCGGGCTCTTGTGATCGTGGCGAAGAAATCGACCCCTTCGTAGAGAGAATCGATCTCGATTGTGGTCTGAGTCGTGGAGGAGAGGGTTCTCTTTGCCCTCTCGCATGCGGTTCGCAGCCGCCGGAGAGCCCTGGGGTTACTGCCGATGTCTTTCTTGTGCTTCCGCTTGAACTCCGCCGCAAAGTGGTTCACCAGGCGGTTGTCGAAGTCTTCGCCGCCCAGATGGGTGTCTCCGGCGGTGGCTTTCACCTCGAAGATACCTTCCTCGATCGTGAGCAAGGAGACATCGAAAGTCCCGCCGCCGAGATCGAAAATCAACACGTTTTTCTCGCCGCTCCTCGAAGCCTTTTTGTCCAAACCGTAAGCTATGGCGGCGGCGGTAGGCTCGTTGATAATCCTCATAACGTTTAGTCCGGCGATAGCTCCGGCGTCCTTGGTCGCCTGCCGCTGCGAATCGTTGAAATAGGCGGGGACCGTTACGACGGCGTTTTTGACAGTTTGCCCTAGAAACGCCTCGGCGATTTCCCTCATTTTCGTCAACACCATAGACGAAATTTCCTCGGCGGAGAACTGCTTCTCCTCTCCCTTATACTGAACCTGGATCATCGGCTTGTCGCCGGGGCCGGGGATCACCTTGAACGGCCAGAATTTCATGTCGCCCTGGACGGAGGGGTCGGAGAATCGGCGGCCGATGAGGCGCTTGGCGTCGAAAACGGTGTTCCGAGGGTTCATCGCCACCTGATTTTTGGCGGCGTCGCCGATCAGCCGCTCGGTGTCGGTGAACGCCACGTAGGACGGGGTGGTCCTGTTGCCCTGGTCGTTGGGGACGATCTCGACGCGGTCGTTCTGCCAAACGCCGACGCAGCTGTACGTCGTGCCGAGGTCGATTCCGATTGCCTTCCCTTCACTCTTCGCCATTGTCGAAAACAATCGAGATTTCAGTAGGTGTTTTTGTGTGTGTGTGTGTGTGTGATGGAAATTGGCAGTTAAATTGTTCGTGAATTTTGATGGAGAAGAATGAGATGTGCCATTTGATTATATATACAATTTGGGGAGGAGATCGAGAGATAATACAGAGGTGGAAGATTGTGGAAGATGGATCGGGAAACAACCAGTGAGGACTGGATTTCTCTGCTACTGCAAGAGGAGAGAGAAAGAAGAGAGAGAGAGAGAGAGAGTCGAGAGGGTTCTGGAAAGCGCGGGAATGAAGTGGTGAGCTGGCAATCAATGTAAATTGGGTTATACCCGGTTTGGTTAATGTAAATCCGGGTCCTGGGATCCGACCCAAATAGGGATACCCCTTGTTGGGCCTGCATATGGGCTTGGGTTAGCATGTTATTATCTTGTAGAAGTTCGGTTTGTTTTATTAATAATAATAATAGTTTTACCTATGTTGACGGGTCAAACACTAAGAATCTAATATTACTATATTGACCGGTCAACTTAAGACAAAAAAAATTAATTGATGTGTTTACAGGTCGAACAATAACATTACCTTGTTAACTGGTTAAAAAAAATAAGTCAACGGCGGTCATCTAAGAAAAAAATGGTTATTTTGTGAAATTCGGGATAATATTAGAGTTTCAAATTGGTAATTAAGTGTGTTTAAAGGATTATAGGTAAGTTTGTCAACAAGATACTTATATATAAATAAGTAGCAATCCATGACTTTTTTTTTTTTAAAGTATGGTTGTTAAGGACCTATGTGACATTTACCGATAATGAATTACCTTCATATATCGATAAATTAATTAAAATTAATAGGGGTAATTTGCTATATATCCCTCTATATTTTAATTTATGTATATAATTCCAAGTCAAAATTTCCATATTTTAATAAATTAATAAAATTTATTGTGTCAAAAATACCCTTAGCCAAATCAAATCAAATCCCCTAAAAACCTCTTTATCAAAATAAATTCCCAAACATCTCTCTTGCAAATATTAACAAAAAAATTAAATAAATTAGTAAAAAAAATATATACTATTTATTGTACAAACTCATACTCTAAAATCAACACCACCTCCGCGCCATCGTCTGTCGTGAACTGCAAATAGCAAACTGACGCCTATGACTCTGTGAACTGCAAATAGCAAATGACGTCTATGATTCCGTGAACTGCAAATAGCAAACTGAATATTAGAATTTGTATTATTGAATTGCAAACAACAAAATACCAATGATTCACCCATAAAATAGCAAACTGGATAAAAAATCCAGAATTTGCATTATTGAGTTGCAAAAAAAATGATTAACTATGACTTCTCCAAATACAAACATCAAACTGAAGAAAAATTTGAAAACGAGAAAAAATATGTAACATGAAATTGCAAAATGAAAACAACTAAATGGCTTAACGTTATTACTAATTATTTTATTTTATTTATATTATTTTTTTTATCAAATGACCTAAACCTATATTCATCTAACAGTTATAATCTCCACCTGTATAAATCCAGAATAAGGGGTGTCTAGCCAATTTCCCCAAATTAATAATAACGTTAAGCCGTTAACTACGCGCGATTAATTAGCTGGGATTGATCTTTCTCTACCAAAATGCTCCACCAATTGATTGCCCAACTGAGCTCTATCGAATTTCTAACCAAATTTCAATACTTAACCGATAAGGCTCATACCTTACGTATCGTATCTATCGTACCGTATTATTTTGGTAGCGTAATGGTAAATATTTGGCAGGATATTCTATTGAATTACGTAATATCGAAAACTCGATACTAGAAACGATATAAGGGTTATGGTAGAACCGCCCTAATACCAAATCCACCCTTACCTATTTGATTAATCAACTAATCTTAACAACTCCTGACCTTGATAAAATTAATTATTTAATTATGAGATTAAATTTTGAGCGGATCAGCCGATATTTAATATAAATCAGATTCCACTAATTTTTTGATATGTGGCACTCTTAAGTTACCTCTTAATAAATAATCCTGATTATAATTAGGTTAGAGGGGGGGTTTTCTTTTTCCTTTTTTTTCTTCCAATTATTAGAATCTTAATTATATTTTTTATTTAAACTGTCCATGTGTCAATCATTCTATGGCATCCGATTTTCCTATTAAAACAGACCATTCAGTCTAAATTTGCACCCTTTAATTATGTATCTGATAAAAAAAATATTTGTCCATGCCTAGGGCGTGGATTATTATAATTAAGTATTCAATTTGTTTTTTTTTTTTTTGAGTGTGTGTGTGTTCTGAATGCTGACCCAATTGCTATAATGCTATAAGAAATAATTTCAGTATTATCTTAATTAATTTATGCAAATAATTATATTAAATTTCAAAAGTAATTGTGTTATTTATTATTAATTACGAGTAAAAATTAAAGTTTTTATTATAATATTAAAAAATAATTAATCTTTCACAATAGCATTTTTTTACTATTATATCAGTAAATTTATTTAAATTGATTATTTTTAATTTAAATTATTTTTTAAACTCATTAAAGTTCAATTTTCGTTGTACATTGATTATAATAAATTTTAATTCAATAATTACTAAGATTTAATATTAATTTATTTTGTTTATAATATCCCTATATTACTTATATTTTACTTGTTCAATATAATAGAAAATTATTTAAATTTTAAAATACAAAATAATTGATATTGCGGGGATAAAATGTTATATATGCTATACTTTAGGGGCGCAAAGTATATTTAACGATAATTAATATGGACTAGATCATCACATAAGTTTTAGAGGAGTAGGTTGAACTTCTATAAAAGTAACATATATATTATACCATTTCCCACCTGATTATTTTCTCTTCGAATTAATAAAGTTTTCAGAAGCTAAGATTATATAATCAAGTAATCAACGGGATCGGAATTCGACGCCATGAAAATCGTAGTGAAGGAGTCGACGATGGTGCGTCCGGCGGCGGAGACGCCGCGCGTCAGCCTCTGGAACTCCAACGTCGACCTGGTGATGAACAACTTCCACATCACCTCCGTGTACTTCTACCGCCGCCCCGCGGCGGCGGACGGCAGCTTCTTCGACGCGGCGGTGCTGAAGGAGGCGCTCGGCCGCGCCACGGTGCTGTTCTACCCGATCGCGGGGAGGCTGAAGAAGGATGCGAACGGGCGGTTCGAGATCGACTGCAACGCCGAGGGAGTGCTGTTTGTGGAGGCGGAATCCGACGGCGTGGTTGATGATTTCGGGGATTTTGCTCCCAGCTTGGAGCTCCGCCGCCGCCTAATCCCGGTCGTTGATTATACCCAGGGATTCTCAACGTACCCGCTTCTACTGTTGCAGGTATATATATCTAAATAAACCTTTATAAATTAATACAGTCGGGACCAGCAAAATTCTATAATTTAGCGAAATATTATATTTATATATGGACGAACTAATAATTTAATAAGTTTTCAATGAGTCGGAACCGAGAATAACTATTAATTAAGTGAGGTTATTAATTTATCAAATATTAATTTATGGAGATTCAAATATATATATATATATATATTCTAATGTCTTTATCGAATCCTTAAGTTGTGTAATTAGTTAAAAATTAGCATTAATAAAAATATAGCAATTAGCTAGGTCATCAATTGTGGATGGAAGCAAGAGTTGAATATAATAATCCACTTGATATTACATATTATAAATAATTAAATTTGTTGTGACGAATAATTGATCAATCATACAGCCTGTGGGGTGGAGTTAGTAGAGTTGTTCTATATAACTTTTACTAAAGTTTCGGTATCATTACTAAAGTTTCGGTATTACGCAATCTATACAAATAAATCCCTTGCCAAATATTTTTTTTTTATACCGAATTTCGGTGTATAGATAGATAATGATATGACAATAACTATTACCGAAAATTAAATTGGTCTTTCAGACAAATAAATTATCAAAGTATTTACATCCACATTAATAAAATTAAACCAAACATTTTATAACTAATTTTATTTCTTATTTATTCATATTTTTTATTGTGTTAAATTTCGAATACCGTTGACAAAATATCCTGGATTCGCAACTGCTGCAAGGTAACGCATTTCAAATGCGGTGGCGTGACCTTGGGTGTTGGAATGCAGCACCACGTGGCAGATGGTTTTTCGGGCCTTCATTTCATCAACACCTGGTCCGATATGGCCCGTGGACTCGCCGCCGCCACAGTGCCGCCGTTCATCGACCGAAGTATCCTCTGCGCCCGTGATCCGCCGCGGCCTCAGTTCGAGCACATCGAATACCACTACCCACCGAAACCCCCTGCCGACGAAACCACCACCACCGTTTCTCTGTTCAAGCTAACCCCCGACCAGCTGAACAACCTTAAATCCAAGTTCAAATCGTCGGACGATGAAATCAACAATGCGGTATCTTCTTACACCTCGTTCCAGATGGTGGTGGCCCACATCTGGCGGTGCGTCACTAGGGCCCGCGGGCTGCCGCGGGCCCAGGAGACCAAACTGTACATCTCCACAGACGGGCGGTCCAGGCTCCGGCCCGCGCTGCCGCCGGGTTACTTCGGCAATGTGATATTCACCGCCGCGCCGGTGGCGGTTTCCGGCGACATACTGTCGGAGCCCGTGACGTACGCCGCCGGAAAAATTAGGGCTGCGCTGGCCAGGATGGACGACGAGTACATGAGGTCGGCGCTCGATTACTTGGAGCTGCAGGGCGATGTTAAGGCAGTTGCTCGCGGGCCCCAGACGTTTACCTGTCCGGATCTCGGGGTAATCAGTTGGGTGAGGCTGCCGGTTTACGATGCGGATTTCGGGTGGGGTAAGCCTGTGTATATGGGGCCCGGCGGACTTGCTTACGAAGGGCGGTGTTTCTTGATGCCGCCTCCTCCGGCGAACGAGGAAGGCGGATTATTGGTGGCGATGTCGTTGCAGAAACAACATGTGGAGATTTTTAAGGAGCTACTCTATGACATTTGACATTTGAGTGTGTGTGTTTGTGTGTGTGTTGTTTAAATGCTTATAATTGTTTGTGTGCACAACTTTGGTAATAAAAATTTGGGTACATTATATTTCCCCATGCATGCGAGAGCAAGATGTTTAATAATTATCTCTTTACACTTAAACTTAGACTGCACTTCAAAACTTATCTACTTCATATGAATTTGAAGACAGGTTTTTACACTTTGAAGCAAAAAAAAAATGCACTCAACGATCACTAAATGTAGAAGACGTACCGATATATATTCCAAGTGAGGACGAATATGTCCAAGCTGAGCAACCCCGTTGCGTTGCCAAGAGAGAACTAGACGAGCTCGTTGCTGTACAAATTGAGGTTCCACAGCTCGAGACGGCTTCCAATCACTGACGGGATTTTTCACGGTTGCCGGAGAAATCGAGTGGGGTCGCTCCGTTCAAGAATGAGCCCAGAATCGGGCCTTGTAAATAGTTGTCCCCGAGTTTGAGTTCTAGAAGGTTCCAGAGAGAAAGTGAGTTCCGAGGGGTGGAAGAGATCCGACTAGAGATGAGTCATTGAGGTTGATCTCTGGCCACTGCATGGTGGTGCATTGGACCAGATTTTACGCGGGTGAAGTTGCATATGGGAGTTGGGTCGGCCCAATTCGCAAGCCTAGAAAACGGGTCGAGTTTCATAGCTTTCTTGAACGCCAAGAGTGCATATTTATATCGATGGAGTGGCGGTGGTACGGTGGCCCGAAAAAAGTCCTAATATTTATGATAGAAATTACACTAATCCTTTAAACACAATTCATAATTTCAAATCCTAATTTAACCACATATTCATCAATTGACCATTTTTTTGTACCGTTGACTGCCGCCGACTACCACCGACCGCATTGACCGGCGTTGATTTTTTTCCTCCCGTTCCGGCAATGAATATGTGTAGAAGGTACAGTGGATATACACACGTATATGGTTCAATTACACTCGGCGAACTTCACCTCCCGTTGAGGGGGTATTCTTCCACCTCCCATTACTCCACCATTATCCCTAGAAAATCATTTATAAGTTCTAACTAGCTATACTTTCCCACAAGGAGGAAACACGAAAAAGGAAATAAATAAATAAATATAGAATTACAAGAAATTTCTTTGCTCCCTGGTGGTGGTTAAATATGGAATTATACTTTCACATATTCTCTTTATGGAACTCAAATTTGGTGGTGGTTTTGTGAGAGAAATCAGATGCTAGCTGCCTCAGTTCTGGCTCCAGTGCTGGTGCGCCACAGTAAAACACTCCTGCAGATGTCAACAAGATTAAGCCTCAACATTATATATATGTGTGTTTGTGTGTGGGTGTGTTTGTGTGTGTGTGTGTGTGTTTCAAGACATACCAACTCTTGTATTAGGATGATTAAGTGCTATGCCTTTGAAGGCGTTACGAAAATTAGGCTTGCCAAAGTGGGACGTAATCCGTGTTCCAGAGACAACGTCGAGACCGTTCTTGGCATGGTTGAGCGATTGAAGCATAGTGATGATAACCGAACGAGCATCCCCTTCCTCGTACACGCTCGTACAGTAGTTGTGCATTTCTACGATCCCTCTTGTGTCCAGCTCAGCAACTTCATCCAGTACACCCTTAAACCAATCAAAAGAACCCTGTTCTCTTATCACCCAATAGAAGTACGCCTTCCTAGTCTTGAAGCTGTGGGCCCCACTATCCGACCTCGACTTCAGAGGAGCAGCGGTTCCTTCCTCCAAGGAGTTTGCTTCTTCTTCTTCCTCCATCGACATTATGTTGTTCACAATGTCTTTGATGATGCTGATCATGGGCGTTGAGCCAATGCCCAACCCCAACAGCAGGACCACACCGTAGTTCCTGTAGTCCTGCGATGGTGCTGCGTATGGCCCATCAATCAACACTCTTGGGAAGCTGTTTGATAATCACACAAACAAATTCAGAATCGTCATTAATTATGTTATTTATATCCCTTCTAAATAAAAATGATATTTTTCATCATTTCGAAACAATAAATTTCATAATGTATTCATAGCATTATTAATAACAGTATACAATATGAAATATAATTTTATAATGTATGTCAACAACTCAATGCAATGCATGATTATACTTGAAGCATTTTAATCTCTGTGGAAGTGGGTAATGGATTCTCACTTGGGATAATTCTTTCCTTGCAAATAATCAGACCGAAAAGAACGCGGCGGCTGACAAGCCTAAGAGCAAAAAATAACACGGTGCAAACAATTATCAGTAATCCAAATGAGACGACAATGCACAACTTATTTTGGAACTGAACTAGTTACATAAACAGTGGTTTATATTGTTCACTTATGTTGGCAATTAGATGGAAGGAATTGCGTTTTAGTAAATGATTCAGATTTCAAATGACTTCATATGATGGATTCGAAGTCCACTACAACAATATAAATACTAAACACGAACAATGAATAAAATATTAATGAAGGAGGTAGATATAGTTTTACCTCTGAGAAAACAAGTTTAAGTTGTCTGGTCCAATCACCAAGAGTCCTCATGTGGATGCTCAGATGATCATCCATTGGTGCTGAAGTCATGTAAAATGGATGCCTGCGATGATTGTACCACCGTAAAACCATTGATGTAACTTTTAAAAAACGCGATTATGCATTGATGCTATTTTATGTAAAAATATCCAGCTTCAAGGACAATAATGGCATGGCGTGTCACGAAGTGGAGTATTATTTTAAAGGCAAGACGTACCATTCGAATGGAGAAACAGCTGCACAGTTGACAAAAATGTACTGTCCACTTTTGTATTTGAATCCTTGGGGCTTTGACATGTGCAGTGCTAGCACATTTCCTGGGTAAACTGCAACCTTCATGCACAGAAACAACCAAAAAAATACTAATGATCAATCTAACAAGACTTTTATCATTTATGCGTGATCAGTTTAAAATTATATATATATATATATATATATATATATATATATATATATATATACTTTCTAGACATGGGACAACTTCAAACAATTCTGATTAAACAAATTTCATTTACCTTTAAGATCTTAACGGAGTTAATGCTGGACCTGAATACCCTAATCAATCTTTCGCCGAGATATAGTGCGACAGGAACTGCCAAATACATCCATGTCTGAAGTAGAAATGGTACTAGAAATCTTATCTTTGCAACAATTGATGTAAAGAGTAGCATGTAAAGATCAGCATGTACGAATATATATATGCAACTAGGACAAAGAAGGAAAGCATCTAACCGTTTTTTTGTACCATTCATGGGTCATATAGAGCTTTATACCATGAATAATGAGGAGACCGTACACAATGATGAAAAGGTGGTGTGAGTACCAAAACGCATTGAACCCCGTGAGTTTGTTCAATGGTTTCGGTAGTCTTACTCTGCTCCTCCTAAACCACGGAAATGCAAGAGTGAAAGCTATGGCCATTAAAACCACCATAAGAATCCCTGTCGTAACTTCCCATCCCTTCACGAAATGCCAATAGCTTGTTGGCTGTTCCTCCCCAAAGAAAGTCCCCAAGGGACTGTACTCGTCCGAGCTCGCGATTAGAAGACGAGGGAAATCACATGCTAAATGGCTGATCCCGTGTATTCCTACCCCTAATGCAATCGCCACAGCAATCAGCTGTAACGGAAACAAAAAGTTTTGATTAGGCCAGATTTGCTGTAGTTCTTGGATTAGGTTTGAATGGAAAGATAAACGATCTCCATGTGCGTGTTGTTTTTGTGCCTATACATTAACAATGTAGTGGATCCCTTCAAGTTTTAGGAAACGGGATCAACAAGAAATGCAAATTTAGGGTATTCTACACAGAAAATCAACAACAACATTAATGTAACAATCCCCAAAGTTAAGATCTTGTTCAAACACAACATTACACAACCAAAACATAAGCCCAACACAAGTCTACTGGATTTTTTCTTTTTTATGACAGAAGTATCTTAACGGAAAGGTTCGACTTACTTTGTGGAAATTAAGGTTGTCATCAAACGGAACAGCCATGGCTAGTTTGGTCTTGTTCCTGAGCCAGGTGATGGTATTCCGACAAACGGGCAGCAAAATAAGGGCCATGTTCAGCTTCAGAGTCTCTGCAGCACCCTTGGCCATGCATACACAATGGCCCAAGACTTCAAACACTGCTCTATTCTTGTATTCGATGTACTTGTAAGTAAAAATAGCAGCCATAATCCCGATCCATAGTGCCATTACCAAAACTCTCTGCCAATTGTCCAGTACAAAGTAATGAAAATCTCTGTATTTCCTCTGTACGAGGTTGACGTGAGTCGGCCTCAGCTTCTGGCTCAGCATTCTGCTCAAACCTCGGCCTTCATTGTCGCCTGTGAGAGATCGGTTTGGGCCTTGCAGTATCAGCATCTCCAAGTTTTCTATCTATTGAGAACATCATTATTTATGATATATACATGGAAATATGTTCGGGGTACTTTAATGTAATTTATCATGGGATTTACGTACAGTTAAGTATCCAAGCTTGTTATGGTCCAATTCTGTCATGAATAATTTCGCATACTCATCTGCTTGTATTACAATATTGGACAGTTGGTTGGCAGAAGCACTTAAGATAATCATCTGCAATGCAATCAGTAAATGTTTTATTCTTTAATCATAGTATCCGCAACGAAAATTAGCCCACTAATTATGCTTGCAGATGAAAAGTTAATATTCAAAAAATATGTTCAAGGAACATATACATTGATATGAACAGAACACAAAATCAAGAAAATCGTTTAACACATTAGAAACAAACAAATAAATAAATAAATAAAGCCTCGTTCGTTCGTACCTTCCTGACTTCGTCTTCCGTAATTCTGCCATCACCATCCTTATCAATCCTGTGGAGAAGAATTAATCAATCAAATGCGAAAGTCACACGATATTATAGTTTCAGAACCAAAAACCATCAAAATTGTTATGTTTTTTTTTTGTTCCTTTACATGTCGAAGAAAGTACGAAGCCGAGAATCGAAACTTGGATCGGAGATTTGTTCCCAGAACTCTCTCAGCTCTTCTTTAGTAATGCTACCGCAGGAGATGTTTCTCGACCGGGCTAGGGCATCGAAAAGCTCGCAGGCGAACTCCTTAGACTCCCTATTACGCATACCTGAAAACAAGATCTATTTTTGGTTAAGTAATTTGAATCATGGTGTAAACTAGATCTATTTTTGTTTAATACAGTGTTCATTTACCAACCAATACATTCACCGAAATGTGAGCGAGGGAGTAACCCATCAGTGGCGGTGGCGGTAAGCTCATTGAACCGCTTCTCCACAGTAAACCAGGACCAGCCGATAAACGTGATCGCTTCCAGCCCAAGCGCCGCCGTGGTGGATCTAGTCCGGCTAATTCTGGATGGACCGTTTCTCACCACAGAGTTGCTCATGGTGGTGGCGATTGGCGGTGGTTTCGATAACTTTACAAAATAGTGTGTGTGTGTGTGTGTGTGTTTTGCTGGGAGAAAAGCTTTAGGTCGAAGAATTATGCGTAAATCATTGACTATCTGCCACCAACCACCGGCTGGCCACCACCGCCGTCGCTCTTGCTCACGCCATCGCCGCCGCGTACCCTAACACCAACAACCCTAACTCCTAAGCACCACCACCACTGAGGACTTGAAAAAACAAATCGTTGACTAACAAAATGCCTAAATGACCATTTGCAGCACAGCTAGAACCCCTCTCTGAAACCGCCGGTCAGCGAAACCGGTGCAACAGACAAACATTTTTTTTTTTTTTCTAAAAAAAGAGAAAAAAACAAACGTCACTTTAATTTAAAAAAAAAGAATTCTTATAAAATACAATTTTCAAATACTTTTAAACATAATTTGAGGTATTCTGTTTTCTTTAAAATCATAAATAAACATTAGTTCCATTCTTAAATTATTATTTTAAAATTTATTTCCCCCAAAATAAAATAACAACAACTCACAAATATTCCTTATGATTTCTGTTTGACAAGTGATACACTCGAATTCAAACGAACTTATAATAACACATAATCTTTTTAGCAATCTCAACTTATCTTATATATAAAAAAATACTGGATAACCTAAAAAACTCTAATAGTATTCTATAATTATTTATTTTTAATATTTTTTCTCTACTAATTTCTAATTATAATTTTTAGGACAAATGGCAAAAAGGCCCATCACGGACTTAAATGCATTTTGGTCCACAAAAAAAACAGCCTATCAATTAAACTCATCCCCATGTCTTTAGTCTAAAATACCCTCCATAATATAATTCTTATCAATTCCACCCATTATGCTCTAACTTCCTTAATACACATTGACCCCGGATTTAAACAAATATATCACATTAACCCCCAATTTTTTTTTTTCAGAAAATAATTATTTTTCTGAAATGTTTTTTTTTTTCCGGTCAGATTCCGGCGTTGACTTTTTTTTTTTTTTTTTTTTTTTGAAAACTTTTTTTTTCCTGAATTTTTTTTCCGGCCGGTCAACCACCGTTGACCGCCGGTCTCCGACGTTGATTTTTTTTTTTTAATTTTTTATTTCTTAAAAAAAAAATATTTTAATTAATATTACTGTCTTTGCTACTAAATTACTGTCTCAGACAGTAATATTATGAATATTATTTTCCCGAACAGTAATATTGTTAATATTATTGTCTAAGACAGTTAAATTACTGTTGGAGACAGTAATTTAGCAGCCAATGCAGTAATATTAATTAAAATAATTTTTTTTAAGAAAAAAAAAAAAAGTCAATTAACAGATAAATTACTGTCTCCGACAGTTAAATAACTGCTGGAGACAGTAATTTAGCAACGAATTCAGTAATATTAATTAAAAATATTTTTTTAAGAATAAAAAAGTCAATTAACAATTAAATTACTGTCTCCGACAGTTAAATAATTGCTGGAGACAGTAATTTAGCAACGAATACAATAATATTAATTACAAATATTTTTTTTAAGAATAAAAAAGTCAATTAACAATTAAATTACTGTCTCCGACAGTTAAATAACTGCTGGAGACAGTAATTTAGCAACGAATACAGTAATATTAATTAAAATATTTTTGAAGAAAAAAAAAAAGTCAATTAACAGTTAAATTACTGTCTCCGACAGTTAAATAACTGCCGGAGACAGCAATTTAGCAGCCAAGACAGTAATATTAATTAATATATTTTTTTTAAGAAAAAACATAATTATAAAAATAAAAAAAAAAGTTCAACGCCGGAGACCGCCGGTCTCCGGTGGTGGCGGGTCAAAATTGAAATTATGGTTAAAATTGGTTAATTGATGAAATTGGGCTAAATTGGGTTGTAAATCATGAAATTGGAGTTGAATTGAGTTTCAATGAATTGATGGTAATTTTGGATATATAAATGGATTTTCCTTATTTGCAAATAAGTTTGAATGGGCTGGATTTATTTGAAAAACAAAAAAGTTGGATGTCCCTCTTTTAATTAAGTGCCATTGTCATGGGCCTATTTGCCATTTGCCCTAATTTTTAACAATTATCAAAATTAAAATTAATCCCGGACGAATCCTACCTTATTTGGTACTTATGTAATTAATTATTTATTTTTAATTTTTTTTCTCTACTAATTTTTTAACTATAATTTTCAACAATTATTAATCTTCTAGTTTTCATCAATATATCTCAAATCTGAAGAGATAAAGCTAGAAATTCCATTTGTTAAATCTTAGTCTATTTATTTGGATTATAAATCGTAATATGTAAGATTTAAAAAAAAACTAATGTTATATAAAATATGAAACATTATTAAATTTTACTATATTAGTGTACTATATTTTCTTATTATTTATTAAATTAATTTTTTTTTCACGATTTAAATAATATCCCGTGCATGGCACATAAAAAAATTGCTAGTATATATAAAAGAAATAAAAGATTGGCAATCATAGGATAATTGATGTCAGTTTTGTAATTATTTTTGTTTTTTTTAATTTTTAAACTTTATTTTTTCTTATCTCAATGTAATGGTTTTTCGCTTTATTCGTGATTCCACTTTCTTTCTTAATAACAATTTTACAATTATTATTCTTTTTTGTTTATTTGTTTCCCTACTAATTTCCTAAATTTTTTTTATTTGTATTCTTTCTTATTTTGGCTGCTTTCTTCGTGAATGGCATCTTTTTATAAAAAAATCTATTAATGTTTGCTTTCTTAATTATTTATTTACTCATCACTATTCATATTATGACAATTAAGTTTTGCAAAATCTTATTGACAAGTGGATTTATATTATCAACTTTGTATGAAAATATTAATGTTATATAAAAAATTTATTTATACTAGTTTGATATAGTTCTTCTTTTCTTCATCTTGATCTGCTACACACTAAAACCAGAGATGGCATATGCTGCACTTGTTTCGCTTACACAAACCACAGATCAAATCCTGACCAATAAAAAGCATCCAATTTTTCTTCCCAACAAACAGCCAATCATATCAATCCACGAATACTCCATTTTCCTGCAAGCATTTCTCGAAGATTTCCCAGATAAAGCCACCACTCTGGAAGTTCGAATCGGAGATGCAGCAACTGAAGCAGAAGACACCATCGAATTCCTCACCTCGGACCAAATCCGGCCGTCGAAGTACGGTAACCGCCGCCGCAATTTTCGAGATCTGGAAAAAGTAACCGGAGATCTCGATTCAATCGCCGCAGATGTGATGCTGATAAAAAATGGCGCCGGAACGAAAACCGCGCAGCTAATCGGCGATTTTTTTCCCGGTGATAGTGTTAGTTCATCCCCCAAACTCGCGTCCACAGGTAAAAATCTTATGGTCGGTTTTAACGATGACCTAATTGCGGTAAAATCTCGGCTCTGTGGAGAATCGTCGAAACTCGAAGTAATCCCAATTTTTGGTATGGGCGGAATCGGTAAGACAACCCTAGCTAGAAGCGCTTACGACGATCCGTTAACTATGCAGCACTTTGTTATTCGTGGTTGGGTCACAATTTCACAGCATTACAGTGCGCACGATCTTCTTTCGGGCCTCGTTTCTTCTATGAAAGAGTTCATCAAAGAAGAACCCGCACAGGGTATCGAATCAGAATCAGTGACGGAGAATTTCGAATTCGGACAGAGCAACAATGAAGCGATGAAACAAAAGATATACCAAACCCTAATCGGTAGGAGGTATCTCATCGTGTTGGATGATATGTGGAGTACGAAAGCTTGGGACGATACGAAGAGGATTTTTCCCGACAATAATAACGGAAGTCGGATTTTGCTGACAACGAGGTTGTCGGACGTGGCTGCGTACGCGGACCCTTGTAGCCCTCTTCACGAGATGCCTTTCATGGATGCCGATCAAAGCTGGGATTTGCTTCAGCAGAAAGTCTTCGGACACGAAGAAAATTACCCTCTCGAATTGGAAAATATTGGGAAGGAGATTGCTCGGGGCTGTAGAGGATTACCCCTCGCGATTGTAGTGATTGCAGGTGTTCTATCCACGGTCAGCAAGACTCGTTCTTCGTGGGAGGAAATCTCGAAAAATATAAATTCGACAGTCGGTACTAAAGACGGGCAGATTGAAAAGATATTGTACTTGAGTTATACTCACTTGCCACATCATTTGAGACCGTGTTTTCTGTACATGGGAGGGTTTCCGGAAGATTACGAGATCCGTGCCTCGAAACTCGTCAAACTATGGGTGGCCGAGAGTTTCTTGAAGCCAAGTTCTTCTAGAAGCTTCGAAGAGGGGGCGGAGGATTATTTGGAGGATCTTGTTAAGAGAAGTCTCATTTTCGTCACAAAGAGGAAATCCAACGGCAGAATCAAGAGTTGCAGCGTACACGATCTTGTTCGGGACTTGTGCATAAGAAAGGCGAACGAAGAGAAGTTCCACCGACACATTACCGATAGGTACGTGTCGGATGTTCTTCTTGAAAGGATTAAGAACCAGCGACGTATATGTATTGCTCACTCTTATCTTGATCGTGAGACTAGCATTTACGGCTCGAGTATTCGTACTGTTATATGTTTTCAGCGCAATGCGAGTTCGTTGGGCTTTGTTGGGAATATTCGATTGCTGAGGGTGTTGGATGTGGTGGATGCTAATTTCAGCCCGTTTATATTATACGTATCCCTCCCTTCGAAACTGTTCGAGCTTTTCCATCTAAGATACCTTGCTTTCAGCTACCCGACTACGATTCCTTCGGACATATCAAACCTTCAGAATCTTCAATCCTTAATCGTTCGTTCTGTCGGGACATGTTTCGTACCTCTGCCACGGGAAATTTGGAGGATGCCGCAGTTAAGACATCTCGTTTGTCGCTCTTTCGGCCCTTTACCCTGCCCTGACGAAGGAGCAACTCTAGCTCTAGAAAACCTGCAAACGCTCGCTGTAGTAACAAATTTTGTGTGCAGTGAGAAGATTACGGAAATGCTTCCGAATCTACGAAAACTCGGAATCGTTTATTCTGGTGATGACTGTTATCAAGAATTCCACCTCGGCAATCTTGTGCTCTTGTGTAAACTTGAAAGTTTGAAGTTGGAGGTGATTGGCAGGCCCCATTTTCGGACAAGGCTTAATCCTGTTTTTCCTAGGTTGCTCAAAGAGTTGACTTTGAGTGGGTTTGGGATTATTAATTGGAAAGATATGACCATTGTTGGTTCGTTGCTTAATCTTCAAGTGCTTAAACTACGAGACTCTGCTTGCGAAGGATACGAGTGGATAACAAACGAGGGAGAGTTTCTTGAGCTTAAATATCTGCTTATTGACAACTCTGACCCTCAACAATGGATAACTGAAAGTGACCATTTCCCAAGCCTTAGGTTTCTGCTACTTCATAGTTGTCGGAATCTAAGTGAGATTCCAAATTGTGTCGGGGATATTTCGTCACTTGAACTCATCGAGGTTAAGTACGGTAATAAATCTCTTGTGGATTCGGCCAAACAGATTGAAGAGGAACAACAAAGTTACGGAAACGAGGGCCTTCAAGTTCGTTGTATGCCTTATTAATGATGTAATTTCAGTACTGTAATTGTGTGTATACATTTGATTGTGCCATTGGGCAAGAACAAGATTAATAGAAGTAATTAATTACAATATTAACAATGAAGAAGGGACAAATTAAAGAGAGATGTAAGCATTAATATATTTAACAATAGTACTTTGAAAATTTCATATCTTTGCATAGTAATTAATTATATTACATAACTGAAGTCTGAATACAAAGTTGAACAAGATTCAACTGATTTTTCAAATTGAGAATAATTAATAATCAACAGCTTTGTCAAACCAACAAGAATTACCAAACGAATCGCCCTCAAAAGTAGCCCACGGTTTGTCAACGGTCTCGCTCGAATCTTCAAAGTCGCTGTCTTCATCTTCGTCTTCATCTTCGTCCAGATCATCAAGAAACGGATGATCGAATAACATTTGAGCAGTCGGTCTATACGAGTAATTCCTAATCAAACAATGCCTGACGAAATCCATTGCATCATCCGATATATAATCCGGAATATTAGGATATTCCCCTTCTGCCGCTATCTTCTTCATTATTTCCTGAGAAGTATTCCCTTCCCAAACCGGCTTCCCCGTCAGCATCTTCAGCACAGTACAACCAAGCGCCCAAATATCGGAAGGCGCTTCCTGTATATTATCATTCACAGCCTCGGGCGATAAGTACATAGGGGTACCCTGCCAAAACTCTCTCATTATTCTCCTCTTCTTGAAATTTCTTATCTCCCTCTTCGCCAATCCGAAATCGCATATCTTCGCGCCGAACGAATCATTAGCTTCCGGCACAAGCAAGATATTATCAGGCTTGATATCGCAGTGCACGTATCCAGCTTCATGCATGCGAGCCAAACCTGCGAGTATGCATCTTGTATAAACCCTAACCTCGGATTCAGGCAAACCCTTGTCGGCCCCGCGGAATTTCCTTATTCTTTCCGCCAGGGTTCCGCCCGAACAATACTCCAACAAGAGATTGTACGCCAAGAAACTACCGTCTTTACTCGCTGTCGTCTCGTCGCCGAACAATTCGACTAAATAAGGAGAACCCTTCAAATCTGCCATGATCTCCCTCTCCTTTTGAAGCGTACTCGAAACTGAAACCTCCGACGATTTCACAGCCATCACCGATGGAAAACCTAATTTATTCTTGTTCTTATTGTTCTTTAGCGTAGCTAGATAAACCGAACCAAAACCACCTTTTCCGATCATGGAACCCCTCTTCCATGCAGCTCCATCTCCATAGTTCTTCGTTGTTCCAGCCATAGTATATCTGGAGTTCTTGAAACTTAGATCGATAAAGTTTATATGAAGTTATTGTATAATATGTTTATTAGATTCAAAAGTTGATATATATACGTATATATATATTAGAGAGAAGTTGTTGTATAATATGTTTATTAGATTGAAAAGTTGAATTATAATTAGAGAAGACCTATCCGTCTTAGGGCTATTTTACGTGTTTGAATGAAATATAGATTTTCTTTTGTTTTAAATCTATCGATCCGTATGTACAAATATATATATATATATATATATATATATATATATATATATATATATATATATATATATATATATATATATATATATGGGCTTATTTTCTCTTTTTTATATAACCCAAGGGTTTGTTCGGTACCTATATTGGATTAGATTGGATTAGATAAGATTGGATTAACTCCATACTAGCTAATTAATTATTTAGTTAGTAGCATGTTCGTTTTCTTAGATTAAATCTTCTATTAAATTTGTTAAATTCAGGTGTTATATATGAATTGTATAATACGATATGATTTGAAGGAAAAAAAATTGTCTTTTTTTCCTTTTTAATCACCCCTATTAAATTAATCTCTAGGGGGAGGGCTGCTACTAATTTAATGCAATAGTAGCATTTAATAGCGGACTCTGATTTTAATAGCGGGTTTGAAAAAGTGTGAATATTGTCAACCGGACATGTTATTAGCCCCTACTATTTAGTCAGTAGAACATTATAGCGGTAACTGAACGAGTCCTAAGTGGCTACTAAACTAGGGTACGATTTCATCAATCCCCACCAGCTATCATGGAGGTGAGTAGTATACATAGGTTTCTTATACTAGATTAATATCGGGTATTAATTTGATTTGTCTATGAAATTATTTACTAAACATAATTAACATATGTTTGTATGTATAAAATAGGTTTTTTCTCGTCCCTTTAAAAAGTTAATCTCGGGAAGAGTTGCTACTAATTTATTGAAATAATATTATATAATTGTGTACTTTAACTTTTGTACGAATCTAGTCAACGAGCTAAAATAGTGTTGAGAGTAGTCAACGAGCTAAAACATGAGAGATTTTGCTTGGGGGCAACTATTTTGAATACTAATTTTTGCTTAGTTGAATACTACCTAGTTGAAAACCACAATTGAGTACATATTTATAAGTTTTTTCTTACTTTAATACCAAAATAAAAATAAAAGTACAAAAATACCCTTTCATACAAAATACTAATTACATCAATTTTTCTTTGAAATTACCTACTTGAAAACCAAATAAAAAAAAGAAAAAAAAAATTCAAACACAAAAAACCTCCCTCCGTCCACCTCCCTCCGTCCACGCCGCCCGACGCCGCCGCCGCCGCTCCAACCATCGCCGCCGCCGGACGCCGACGCCAAACACCGCCGAACGCCGCCCAACGCCGCCCAACGTCGCCCAAAGCCGCCGCCGTCGTCGTCTTCGAATAGTAAGTTATAGTTGTTTCGATTTTTTTTTCTTTAATATTTATTTAAGATTTAATTGTTTGATATGGGTAATTAGGATTTGGTTGTTTTAGGTTAGAATGATCGTTAATTAGTAATGGGTGCATCTGATTTCAGTCGATTTGAGCATTGATTTGAGATTCGTGGGTCGGTTCTTCGTTCACCATTTTCGACCTGTATATGTCGATTTTCGATGAATTTTCGACAGGTTGATGTCGAAAATTCATCCAAAATCGACATGTAGATGTCGAAAATGGTGAAATTGTTGTATCAGTTCAAATTCGACAGCTAGCTGTCGAATTTGAACTGTGAATTTTTTTTTTTTTTTTTTTTTTTTCGACACTTAAGGGTATTTTCGACACATACACGTCGAAAAATAAGGGTATTTTCGACCTGTATGTGTCGAAAATACATGGCGAGTTTTAAAAAAAAAAAATTCAAAATCGATGTTTTAGCTCAAAAAATACATGAATACATACTTGAATGGGTTCTCCTTGCTCGTAAACTACTATTCTATTGTCATTTGAGGCCATTTTGCAAGTTGTGTAAGGTTTTGATTTCTTTTGTTTTGGGGTTTTTTAGGAGGGTTTTTGGGGAGGGAGAAGAAGGAGGTGGAGGAGGTGAGGGGTTTGTGAGTGAGGAGGGAAATGTTTTTTTTAGGTTTTTGATTATTTGGTTTTTAAGAAAGAAAAATAGTATTTGTAATATTTTTTGGTTTTAATTTTCATTAAGGGTATTAAAGTAATTTACAATTAATTATTTATTTTTTATTTTTTTGGTATTCAACTAAGCAAAAATTAGTATTCAAAATAGTTGTCCCCATTTTGCTTAGGGCTATAAATCTTTTATGATCAAATTCAATCATACGTTTAATTTGTTGCTAGTAAGGTACATAACTCCAGAAAATTGTAATTTTGGCCCTCTATGTTGGCTTTAATAGGAATTTCACCCAAACCCCAACTCCTCATTTTGTTTTTCTAGCTTTTTCTATATGCTACATCTGGTTAACTTAATATATCATCGTCGATTTACACACAAACACATACGTAAACACGTTAAATTTCATATGTAAAAATGTGTATCGAATATATACACGCGTACAATTGGATATTTTCGTATTTAAATTGTTTGTGGAGCCTAGATAGGATAACTTCCTTGAGGAGATTAGCAATGGCAAAGTAGTTAATCATTGTTATATCTGATGCTAAAAGCAAACAGAGGATTGATTACATATAACACTCTTACACTAAAAGTAAACAGGAGTTTATATTCTCAAGTAATCGCAAATAAATAATCCAAGAATCGTAAATTAGAACGAAAATCGACAACAATGTAAGGAAAAAATAATCAATATATAAATGAGATTTCCATATGTTTTTTTGTTACATAAACTAAGTACAGCCTGTCAATAATCAACTTTGATAGATTCCTACAGGAATGACTAAACTAACAGGACAATGTTGTTTCCTCTTCCGTAAACTATGTAACGGGGCCCGTTTCGACGTCTCGTTTGATTGGTCGAAACCCATAACACCTTCAATATTTTCAACCTCTTCTAACTCTTCTTCAGACCAAGACGAAAACGAATCCTCGTCTGAATATACGTCACAGTTAAACTCAAATTCCACCGATTCTTCAACCGCATCACCATTTTCAAGAACTTCGACAAACGGATGATGCAAAAGCATTTCAGAAGTATGTCTGAAAACGGACCGCCTCACAAAACACCCCTTTAGAAAATCTTTCGCCTCCTTCGATAACTCATTCGGGATTTTAGGCAATCGACCCCTTGTCCCTATTTTCCGAATTATTTCTTCCGATTTCTTCCCTTCCCACGGCAAATTTCCCGTTAGCATATAAAGCACAATACAACCAAGTGCCCAAATATCGGAAGGCGACTCTTGCACTTTATCCACCACAGCCTCGGGCGATAAATACATAGGGGTACCCCTCCAATAGGGTTCCAATATTTTGCTCTTCTTCGAATTTCTCTCCCTCTTCGCCAACCCAAAATCCCCAATCTTTGCCCTAATTCCGGCACCCGAATTCGGCACAAGCAAAATATTCTCGGGCTTCAAATCACAATGAACATACCCATTACCATGAATATGATTCAACCCTCTGAGAATAGACCTCGTATAAACCCTAGCCTCGCACTCAGCCAATCCACCGCCACCCGATTTCTCGATTCGATCGGATAAAGTTCCGCCCGAACCGTACTCCAACAACAGATTATACGCCATTACGCCATTGCTGCCAATTGTTGTTTCTTCACCGAAACACTTGATCAAATAAGGGCACCCTTTCAAATTGGTAAGAACCTCCTTTTCCTTCTGAATCGAGCCCGAAGCGGAAACCTCGGCCGATTTCACCGCCATTAGAGGCGGAAAGCAGCTGTATTTCGATGTCGGATTCTTCAGAGTTGCGAGATAAACGGAACCGAAACCCCCTTTTCCGATAATCGAACCCCTGAACCATGCAGCTCCATCTCCGTACTCACTCACATCCATTGTATATATATTATATCTTCACCAAACAAACAGATAATGTAAGAGCTGAACAAGCCGAAAACTGAAAAAAAAAATTGCAGAGTTTTTGGTTGGGGAATTGAATCGAATTGAATTGAATTGAAATTGGGGGGAACAAAAAAAAAGGGGGGAAGCTGATTGAGTTAAAAATGAGTATGAGCTTAGGAAAGAATTTGAATTAGGGTTTACGTAGATGAGGAATTGGTTTTCTTATAAGATGTTTGATTGTGTAAAGGAATAAAACAACGACGTTTTCTTGAAGGGAAATTAAATAGAAGAGAGAAAAGAAAAGGGAAAAGGAATATAATAATAAATATATATAAAATAACAGCAATAACTGTCATGTATGCTTTGCTGACGTAAGATGGTGGCCGTTTCTTGCGGCGGCGTTCGACAAGTTTTGGTCGGAATTTAATACTCTTGTCATCGGACTTGGACTTCTTTATGAATGGTTGTGTTATTTTTACCAATAGATAAAATACATCTGGTAAAAAATATATAATAAATTTTAGGGTAAATTACGGTCACCCTTGAGGTATGGTCAAATTACGAAAAATTCATCTTGTTTAGGTAATTATAGCAACCCTCTCCTTTTAAATATTGTTAGATAAAATTTATGTAATTCGGTTATTTACCAAACCAAATCGTATATTCAGTTCGGTAAACGGTATGAAATGTTTGTGTACCGAAATTTCGGTTCGGTTTTACCGATTTAACATCCCTAAATTAACCTCTATAGGGGTTTTTTCGTAACATAATACATAGTTGAGAGGTGACTGTAATTACCCAAACATGAAGGGATTTTCGTAATTTGACCATAACTTAGTGGGTGGCCGTAATTTACCCTAAATTTTATTTAAAAGTTATAAACATTTCCAAAAAGATATAAAAGTTTATTTCGAAAGTGGGAATTTCGTAATTAAAAGTTTCGATTAACATGAGAAAAATGAAGTTGGGCTAGATGATCAAAATACACCTGTCGTTTTCTACGTACAATTTATCACCTCGTGTCAACTACTTATTACTTATTTTGGGTTGCGGTTTAAGTAGATCAAGTTGAAGTACTTTGTGTGCAAATAGTTAAACTTTCGGAATCATCGAGCCAATAACAAATATGTGTATTAAGAAATTTAAAAAATAAAGAGATGACCGAGTCGGATGTAGCCATGTAGGTTGGTTGGATTCAGATGGTGTTAAGTTTAAGGTAAATAGCACTTAACCCTTTGTGGTTACAAGTTTTGGCAGATGACTCTCTTATACTTTTAATATCAGTAAATAATCCCCTCGTGGTTGATGCGGTAGTTTCTGTTAGTTTTTCCGTTACACTTAACTGCTAGTGTCAAACGTCAAAGTATTTTTTTTTTGTAGATGACCTCACTGTGCTTTCATTTCCCCTTTTATGTTTGCAGATGATCCCCTTGAAGTTTGACACACACAATTACATTTGACCGAATGGTGGAGCTTTGGGTCACTCCTTATTCGTCCATTTCACATAGCGGATGGTCAAGGCCGGTTCTGAGGGGAGGCGAAGTAGGCGGTCGCCTAGGGCTCCGGATTTTTGTAAAAATTTAGGGCCCCCAATTTTTTTTATACCGTTTATATATTAGTATTTATTTTAAAAAAAATATATATTATATATATAATTATTGCGAACTGTAATTCATGAATATATATTGATCAACGATTTTTACTTATTTCTATAATACCTTCAATCATAGACCCCCAATTATAAAATTTATAGTGCATTAGCTATTTATTTTTATATATTTACACTTGTTTTAGTGCTACTTAATGAAAATTATCCTTAAAAAAAATTCGGGGGCACTGCCCACAAACCCCCATAAATTTATAGCCTTGTCTCTAGCTATATACCTTACAAAAACGAGTTCACATAGATTTTATCATCCTTTTTAAAAAAAAATTGAGTTTTAACGTAGATTGTAGAAGAGCCCCATTTTTCAACCTTCTTCAAATTTCGCCTAGGGCCCCCCAAATCTCATGAACGTGCCTGCGGATGGTTGATTGAGCTGGAGAAATCTTGTGGTGGTGAGCCGTTGTTGGTTAAAAAACTTGACAAGGAGACGGATTCTTACAAAGGATTTGATTTCAAAGTTTATCGGGTGGATGTAGATCAAATGAAGTGCATTGAGATACTCAATATAGGCAATCGGACAATTTTTGTCAGTGAAGATGGTGCTGGATTTTGTTGTCGTTCTTTTGCAGGAATAAAACCAAATTCCATTTACTATACAAATGAAGACGATGAGAATCTCTCTGTCTTTGATATGGAAGTCTTTGATTTGGAAGATAGAAGCACAAGCTTGACGATGTAGTCGGACTATGGAGTTGAAGACGACGAAGACCACGAGTCGATCAGAAAGTCTTGCGTTCAACACAATATCTTTAAATAGTTTCGCTCGTTTACATCATTTCGTTTTAGTTCAAGAAATATTAGTTGATAATTTGTCTATCTAATGAAAAATTGCTATTTTGAAAATATATATGCTTATTGAGGAAGACTAATAATGACACACATACTCATATATATGTGTCATGTAACTTATTCTCCGAAGCCGATTCTCAGAAGCCGAAAAAATATGCAAGGGTTTGATAAATGCTTCGATATAGACAATGATGCTTTGTCGTGTTAGAATTTATAATGCTGTACTCTGCAATTCGTTTTAAGTTGGTGTTTCATTTCTTTTCGCTAGGTCTTTTGCCATTTAATATTCGGAGAAGAAAAAAAAAATCGAGAAAGCGCAGCTTTTTCGCATATTTTATGGCAGTTTACGCGACTTTTTTTCTAACCTAAAAACAAATAGTGTTCATTTATTGAATTAATCACGCCATATCTTTAAACCAAACAGCATCTTAACTAAACTCAACCGGAAACATAATTTTAGCACCGATAACATTCTTCCGACCACCGGAAAAAAAAAAAAACGAGGCAATGAAAGCTATACAACTAGACAAGTAGACGACACCAAACAATTCGAAGTCGAAAATATCATTGCCGATTATGAAAGGTAATACAGTTTGGAGCAACTACAAAAACGAAAAAAAACCTCTATTTAAGCTCTCATGAGTAGGGCTTTAAGAAATTAATTCTAGACAAAATAAGAACACTAACCACCGTTACGGTACTAGGGAACCCCTATCTATGTGCAGTTCCTTGAACTATACTATAGCTCCACCAAAAACCCAAAAAAGTTTCGATTTTTTTCTTAATTACCCTCGAGCGGCCAAAAATATGTATTCTCAAAAGATATGAGCAATATGTAATTTGTTAAGCCAGAAAGAAAAAAAACGACGGAAATTATGTTTCACCGATGGCACAAGGAATGCAAGGAGGACACTTTGACTGGTCTTTGGGAGTAATCTTTTGCAAGCAATGGTCGTGAAATGTATGGCCGCACGGTAAAACAGCAGCACCTGGTGGAATAGTCGGCTGAAAAACGGGACCTTCCGCTGTGAAAGAAAGATCCCTCTTGCATAACAGACACTTCTCTCCGATTGGCTCAGGTGTCGCTTCACAACCTATAACAGCGTATATAAATTAAAATTTTCATATTACGATAAATAAATAATTGACTAATTGTTATGCGAAAGAGACAAAAAAAGAGAAACCTAACATTTTATATGAGAAAGGGCCGGTGGAGTATAATATCTAGGTGGAATAGGAGCTAGAGTAGCTGGAGCGCCGGGTAGCGGCCTTTGGAGGAGCAAAGGAGAAGGGTGCGGAACGGGTTGAGGAAGGATTTTCCTGCGTTGACTTATATGTTGTGGGGCCAGATAATTTTCGGTTTGTTGTCTTTTCAAAGATGGACGAGGAACGTTAATAGGAGGAGAAGGCTGAGGTGGCCTTATAGCTAGGTTTGCACCTGGAATTACATGACCTGCAAAGAGGGAGAAATTTTTACAAGAAATTAATTAATTTACCAATAATTAATTTTGACGTACGTTCGAGACGAATTAATAATAGAGGTACCTTGAGAATAATCAACTCTGGGAAAATTCCTCGACAAATGAGGGGGCATAGCATTTTGATATTGACCTATATTGTTTTAAGAATTAATTAAATGGAAAACCGAATACTAAGCCCATATTATACCGTAGATTTCATGGAATTACCTAAGAGTGCGACGGGTCTAAAGGGATTAACTGGAGGAGCCATCCGCATTGGAGAAGGAGCCAAATTGATTGGAGGAGGAGGACCTAGTAAAAACATTAGTATCACAAAATAATTCAGAAGTCAGGTTATTATTTATTTATATTAAATATGTGAAATTAGTTGTGAGTAATATCTCTTATTAGCGACAGTCGAATACAAACCTCTGATGGTGGTTATGGCATTAGCAATATCATTAGGCTGAACTCCCAGCCTCCTAGGGAATGGAGCAGCAGGAGCAGCAGATTGAAAACCGTTGCTGTTTGAAATCTGAGGATATAAACTATTCCGAAGGGCATCAACAGATCCGAAATTACGAGAAGCAAGTGAATTCCCTGAGAAAAATGGAAACCGTGAAAAAAGTCAATATGAGCACGCGACACGTATTTACATTCCAGAATACATTTTTAGGTAAACTAATAGGGGGATAAAATTTTTGAAATACTGATGAACATAATTGAAAGTATTACGTAAGCTTACCCATTGGTTGAACGGTTGATGGGGAAGAACCATAGTTAGCATATCCCGTTGAGGTACTTTCTGCTCGCGAAGGTAGATTTCCTAAATAAAGAGCAAAATAACACATTTCAAAAAAAAGAAGCCAGTCGTTATTTATGAATACTAACTATAGGGTTCTCTCACGAGTTAAACGTACATTAATAGTTCATACTAGTCACATAAATATCCTATGCCATTCTCTCTCTTAAAATATTCTCTCCATTCTCTCTCTCTCTTAGAATTTTGAATTCATCAGAACAGAAGTACTTATACGGACAAGATTTAATATAGACCCCTTACCCGCTGGTTGCGCATTCACTGGGACACGAAAAACAGGGCTACTCTGAACTCTTCTACCATCTCCATGTGTAACTAAGTTTCCTGTAAGAAAAAAAAAAATCAAAAACCAAACTTTTAGAGAAGAACAAATGATTTGTAGGAATCGGCTACAGTTTCATCGTTCATACATTTGCATCAGAAAAAAAAAATATGCTCAGTTCTCCACCCTAGACAAACATAAAGGGATGCTACATCAGTTTCGTAAAATCTTAATTTACTCTTTTCTAGATAATGACTGAAACTATATCCTACAATATCAAAGTAAAAATTAAATGGCACACAACGATATCGAAAGAAATGACTTGTATGATTCACCTAGTTGTGTGTGGTTGATGGAGCTTCCTCTCTGCATGTCAGAAAGGTAATTTCTGGAAGATTCCGACGGCACGTTAATCGGTCTTTGTCTAAGGTGGTCCTGTATCCCTGTTACAGGCTGGCCTGCAAAATGCGCGGAATTCCTCGTTTCTGGCACTAACCATGCTGGCAGGTTGGCATATTGAGGCCGAGATATTAAATTGCTTCGATAAGGCAATGATGATGGAGCTGAAGAACCAATTACAGAAGAAGCATCGCGTCTCGCCGTAAAATTAGATACTGTATTAGACTGCATATTCTGCAAACGAGGCACTGCCACTGAACTTAGCCTGGAAGTGGTGCCTTCACCACTCAGATTATTTAATAATCCACCACCACTAGTTTGAACCCTCGCTTCGCTACCCGTCAATTGAGTAATACTTAAAGGGTTATCGAGATTTCGTCCAATAAGAGAACTGTTGTCTGCATCCTCCAATTTACTAGCAATTTCTCGAGTGCTGAACTTACTATTGGACCTGACCTCTGTACTGCCTCCGATTCCAAGAGTAAGAAAACTCCCATCAACTTTTTGCGGAAATCTAAACGGAGGAGGGGCAACGTTGGTATTGTTTTTATTTCCCGCACCACCAAAATTATCCACAAGAGGCAATGCAGAAAAATTTCCACTCATCTGTGGCATACTAATTCCACTATTTCTAGCTTCAGCTCCATGTGCCTTTATTGGATAACCTGTTGCAGTCGCAAAGGAAGGTGACTTGTCGTTTTCGACATTGATCGAATTTGGATTAGTCTCGGAATTTGTCGAGCAATTGGAATTCGTATAACCACGCAATATATTGTTTTCATTATTGCTCACGGGAAAATGAGGATAATTCAGCGAAAACGGAAAAGACATATCTGCTCCAGTATTGGAATCGTGACTCCGCCCACTGTCATCAGCTCCACTCGGTTTGGTAGTGAGAGAATGTCTTTCTTGCCCTTCCTCCACATCAGTCAAGGCAGGTGGATTGCCACATCCCATTTATTTGCTCTTTTCTTCTTATCTGGATAGAATATTCAACAAGGTTATATTCATCGTGCAATTGAAAACGAGGATACTAATGCAAGATGGTAGAGATATGCAAAGCAGCAATGAACTCGATTAGTTCAAATGCAATGTTTTATGTCAACTTTCAGACTGATGAAGTTTCACAAACAATTCTCACAAAGACAAATATAGCTTCAATTATGCAAAATCACGGACAACTGTGTATGAGAAACAAATCATCCGAAAAGTATCGGGAAAATGCGACAAAGACTAAATGATTGGATTTGAAATTTCGAATCATTATTTCACAAAATCCATGAATTTACGTATCCCTGCATTCGAATGTTTCTTCATCCTCTAAACATGGACATCTGATAATAGACGGAAAATCATCGTTTCAGCTTCGAGATAAAAAGTACGAAACAAGATCTGCCCTTTCATAACCATAACGTGTTAAAAAACGGCATACCTTCACTTATGGAAATAGCTATACAAGAATGGGAAAAATCAGAAAATTAACATCAACGATGAAATGATAAGGAGAAGTCCAACATAGGAAAATGAAGAACAAAAAGAAGATGAAACAAACATGTAAGATTCAGACACACCCTAAACAAGTTCGACATAGCACAGAAGTCCGGAAAAAAACAAATTCTGGTAACACAGGAGTACCAGATTTCCAGAATTCTCTCAAACCCCCATTTGAGCAAAAACCCAAAGGAAAATCAAATCAAATCAACATTTATGCAACTTCAAGCGTTTCATGATTTTTTTTATTAATCAAAATTACAGGGAAAATTAAAAAAAAAACAAATAAATAAATAAACCCCAATTAAAAAAAGGCTCCAGCCATTGAAGAAATTTTGGTAACTAACAAAGCGATTCATACACAAACATCAATCAACGCCAATCATCAGAGTAATCCATACCCCGAGTATTTTCAATTTTCTACACAGATAAACAAAAATCGATACGGTCGTGTTCGGGCATAATTAATGGGGGTTTTGTTTCACAGTTTCATTACCAGCGGCTACGAAAAATTGAGATGCGTGTATTGATTTTTGATCGGCGAAAAAAAGAAGGAAAAAAAAAAAAGAGAGAGAACACTTCAAAGGAGTGATGACATACAAGAGTGATGAGCGAGTGAGTGTTTAGAGAGAGAAACAAAACATTTTAGAGAGAGAAAAAAACACAGAGAGAGAGAGAGAGAAGGGGGTTTTATTTTTTGGCGCTTTTAGGGCTATGAGGAGGGGAGAGAGAGGGATTTAAAGGGTTCGGTCGGTGGGGCCCACCTTTGGAGGATTGACACGTGGCGAGAAGAGAGCCCGTTTGGTGCTTCAGCTTTTGGCTGACGTGGCTCTGCGCTAAAACGTCCGGCTGTGAGATCTCACTCTCTGACAGTCCAATGGGAGATGATTTTTAAACCCCGTGTTGGCGTTTTGACATCGACGAAGTGGTGGTGAAAATCAACTTGGGAGGAGATGAATGAATTGGTGTGGTGAGGGGTCAAATTTATAGTGGTTTAAAGTTTTCAAAAAAAATTATATTTTTGTGATTTTTCAGGATTGCTTGTATTATAAATGAGATTTAAATAAAATGGTAAAGAGAAATCATTGGGAGATATGAAATCTTATTTTGGGATATTTTAAAATGCAAATTATAATAATGAGTCTGCGTCTGTGCGGAGCTGTAAAGGGGTGGCGTCAACGGACTATAATAAAAGTTATGAGCCTAAAGCAGGCTAAAATATCTCATTCTCGATTTTGAATTTTGTAGACGTTGGACGTCATTAAATTGGCGTTAGGTGGACTTTATTACTGTGGGATTGGGTGAACGAGGAGCGCGTGGTGAATAGCAAATTGGATAGACACGAATCTTAATATTACGTGAATTGTAAAAATTACGTAAATATTACACTTTATACGTTACTAGTGACTATATATAATTTTATTATTATTTTTTAATGATATTAATTTTGTAGTATGCAATGATTGTTATGCGCGCGTGTATCATTGATGGTTACCTACCGCTAATAAATGTAATACGAGTGCAAATGAGTTGAGCCGCTTACGAGTCTCGTGACCCGGCTTGGTAAAACTCAAACTCTGGTTTGAGTTTTTTAAACTCTAGCTCATTTTAATGTTTTTCAAGTCAAAACATTTTTTATTTTTTTTATTTAATGATATTATTTGTCGCGCATATATCATTAATTAATACGTATTTTTAATAACGAAGTACGAGTGAAAATGAGTTGATCTTAGCTAGCTCGATAAAAGTTCAAACTCGAGTATAAATTTTCCATGCTCCCACTCCTTTTCAAAAGTTTTTCGAAATCCAACTTATATTTTTATAAACATAACTAATATATAATAATTAAAATTTGAGCTCGAACTCAAGTTCATTTTCGAATTTTGAAGTTTAGCGTACTTACAAGGTGGCCGAATAGAGCTTGGGTTGTGTTTCATCACACGAGCATGAGTGCATGACTAATAAGATTCGATGATTGCCGCCAAAAAAAATAATAATAAATAAATAAATGACGACACTAGCATATGAAAAGGTTTATTTATTAAGGACTCAGTTTGATTGTCAAGATAAGATTAAATAATTTAAAAAAAATCCAATTATTTTATCGGACCCTTGCACGTCCAACAAAAAAACTTCTTAAAAGACAAGATAATGCAGGATTAGCCATGATAACATAATATTGGCAGGTCGACCCGGCAAGTTATTGGTGATACAAGACATCAAATGAAGTCCAATTATTTAAATAATCATGGCTAATCTCCCAAACCAAACGAGGCATAAGAAATAAGCGGCGGTCATAAACCATAAGCTAGAAAACTAAAATACTAGCCAGATTTCACTAAAGAAGCATTTTTGAACAAACACAATATTTCAAATCCCAAGGAAAAATAATACGAAAAACTTCACCCATCACCTCAAAAACTAGAACTACGTGCCGTAAAATATGAAGCTAGTCTTGACAATGAGGGAAAGCCTAAGAAAACATGCTAGGCGAACATTCTCAATTTGCTAAATTTATATTGTGCAAGAATCACGTATGGCGGAAGAAGAGCTTAAAGATAACGTGTGAGATTTCGTCGAAGAAATATGAATCAACGTCACTTTGTACCACGATGTTGGCGAATTGTTCCCGTATTAGTCTCCCTTCTCGTGCTTTCGTCGATTGTGAAAGATAGCAAGTCCAGATGATAATACCATTCCGACCAAGTATCCAAGAATTGCTCCATAGGTCACACAAATTGGCCACTCCTGCATAAAATGCAATTTTTTTAATGCGTAAAAGGGAAAAAAAAAAAAAAAAAAAAAAGGATTCAAATTTCGAACAAGAATACCATATTGCATTCATTAACATTGAATTGAGTTAACTGGTAAGATGATTTTTTTTACAAACCATGATGACCATCTTAAACAATCTAATGGTATTCTTAACAAAGAGCACTAAAAGAAACGAAAGAAAAAAAAAAAGAAATGGAAAAAAAAAAAGAAAAATAAAAAAAAGAGTAAATTAAATGGCAAAGTTCCGTACCTGCCATTGTCTTTCCCAGTCAAGAGGCATAGGCCAAGCACCAAACCAAGCTCCGATAACAGCTCCATACGCAGGTAAACAGATCATAAAATCTGTACATCCAATTGGCCTGCAAGTCGAAATCGTGAAATGCAGAATCCACAAAAGTCGCACCTTTGGATAACAAAGAATCCTAAGGGGTTATATTCACATTACTTTGTGTGAGCAAATACTCGATGCCAGTCAGCCCAAGATGAGCCAAAAACACAAGCTGCAGGGGTGAACTGCAAGAAAAGCAAATATCAAGGGGTTAATCGAAAATTTTCCGCAAGAATCACACTCCATTAGAAATAGGGTGATTGTAATTTGTAAAGGGATAATATATACCGTAAAGACAGACATCAGAAGAGACCAGTGAATTGTCTTTGTGAAGTGCCTGTATCAAACGAAGAAGGATGAGAATCAGCAACTATTGTTCATTGTATATAAGATTAGGGTAAAGCTATTTACAGTTCATAAGTTTACTCTAAACACTACTAAAGTATAAAAAATTCTATGCACAGAACCATAGAGTCCTAACGTAACCTTCGTAATTCATTGAACAAAATTGTAAATAACTACATACAGGATCATAAGCCTCTAACAAGATTCTAAAATTGCATCCTCTGCTTCATCATTACCCCCTTTGACCAGAGGAATCGACGGAAGATCATTCACCAACGACCATTGGCGGAATTTCTGAAGCTATTACTCTGTCAAACTCTATTTACCCCGGACAAAATTCACACAATCCTAAAATCCACCCAACTTTTCTGGGGAAGATGACCGCGAAATATAGCAATTTTATTTTCAATTATTTCGGTCCATACAGTCTGAAAATGAAACTAATTTTTTGGCTGCCATTCAAATTGCGTCATACAAAACAGGAACTTAAAGTCAAGTTGTAACCATCCTAATCCTAGGCAAACCATAGCTGCCGTCGTCTAATTTTAGGTACTCCATTAAAAAGGCAAAAGTGAGGGTTAAGGATTAAAGTAGCATGAGGTTCACATGGACACTATAACAAGTTTTGAGTAAAATAGAGTAGCTTAAATAGCCAAAATTTGAAAAAATAGATAAAGCAACGAGCACAAAACCGGAAACGGGAGACCTCAAGGTAATTGCTGATTATAGAATATAATAGATCAGAACAATCTCTATGCAAGCGCAACGTAGGTTCAGTTCTTAAATTCATGATGACAAATTTGAAGTGTAAATCAGTGTCACGTACTGAATTCCAACAGGTGCGCCCAATACAATTGCTCCGAATGCATTCACTAAAGCACCTGCAAATACAAACATAACATAAATCTTAGGATCGATATTAGTGAGAGCAATAATGTACCAAGTTTACAAGAAAAACGGAAAAACTTATAATTTATGTGCTGTTACTTAATCCTGTCTCAAATTTCCTAGAACATAATATACACTTAAAGAACCTTTTGCAGCTTCTCACTCAATCACGCATCGTAACAATCCTATGACCAGGCCCGATTTCACATTTTATACCTTCAGCGATAAGCCTGGTCGTTTAGGATGTTAAAAAAGGCATGCTTAAATGTCAATTTAAGCATAAAACGTTAGCTGGTAAATGCTGATTACTGAGCTAATTCATACTTGCAAAATAAAATGATCCAAGTACTTCAAGAGCTATCGTGTCATTCCTAGCACAGTGAAACGTGATGAATCTTTGTTTTCTGAAAGGCCACAAAAACCATAGGAACCAAAAAAACGTTTCGGTAAAACAACATTTGAGATCTAAAGAAGGCAATTATGAAAATGCATTTCATTTTTCACTCGCATTTTTTTTTTTTTTTGATAAATTCCATTATTACACTCATAAAATGCCACAAAATACAAAATATGCAGTTATCATTCTACAACGGAGAACATCATCTACTCATGCCATACAATGAAACATCTCAAGCCATAAACGTAAAGTGTCTTCTTGTCATGAAGTATTAAAAAAAAAAAAAAAAAAAAAAAATGAAGGAAAAGAAACCTTTAACTTGACATTTATAGCACTAACCAGCAGGGAGACCTAGAATCCCTCTCGCTATGGCTTTAACATACTGAAAGAAGGAGGAAAAAAAAAGGAAAAAAAGAGAGCAGAAAATGAGATTAACGAGACAATTGATCTGGACTGCATCGAAACAGACTACAGAAGAAATTTACAGTAGCAATAAAAGAAATTGTATTACAGAGCACTGATCTGGATTGCGCCGAAACAGACTATAGATTGGGATCACAACTGAAGCCTCGACAGCCTGAGCAAGAAAAACACAAAAGTGCACATATTATTACTGCATAAATTTAGGAGAATTGATGTATGAAAAGTGGAGATTTACCTACCCATACTATAAGGAGGGTTCGGGCTGGATTTAGGATGAGAGTGAGCGAATAAAAATGCAATGTGACCCAGAAAGCCGAGGCTAACCCTAGCCCACATGTGAGATGCAACAGCAGCAACTTCAGCGGAGATGCAAATGAAACAGCTGAATTTGCAATTTCAGGATCTTTTGTTTGCTGCAACGGCTGTTGCATAGCTTTTAAGTTCTGGAATAGAGTAATCTGCTTCAGCAACTTTTGATTGTGTAGACAAATACTCAAGCGAGCGATTACCTGAAACCCAAAAATTTAAACGTGGTTCTCAAATCTCGACAGGGGAAATAAACGTGATTTATGGTAGAGTGGTTCGTCTCAAAGCTAGATTAAGTATCACTCATGTAGCATGTATGTATATGTATATATATATATATATATATATATATATATATATATATATATATATATATATATATATATATATATATATATATATATAGCAAAATCATTATCCTACAGAAACTGGAAATTATCATAAGCACAAGCATTAATAAATTTGAATCCCAAGCCTCTCATATGAAACTCTTGCCCGATTTTTTTGCAGCTTATTGATGCCAAACAATGCTCAGTCCAATTCGCAGCCAATGATAAAATTGGCACAACACACACACAGACACACACATATATAGGGAGATGTCAATTTTCAAATCAAAGTAGATGAGTAAAAAACCAGCAGCGAATGCAGAAAAGGTGGAAAGAGAAACAGAAAACCCAAACAAAACCCTAGATCAATCAATCCCCAAGTACATCACAAAAAAAATAAGAATCTTACCGAAGTAATAAAAAAAAACTGAATTCTATGTTTACGTGTGCGCAAGAGAGATAGAGAGAGAGTCTATTTGTTAGTCGGAGAGATACCTGTATCAAGCTTCTGCTCTGCAATCGTCGGAGAAGGAGAACCGGAGAAATACAGAGGATGCGACTGAATAAGTCCAAATTGGAATTAGAAGTGACCCGGCCGGCCCAGACACCGGTCTGGTTAAAATATCAAAAAAATCGAACCAAATTTTGAAAATCGAGCAACTGAGAATTGAGGGTACATTAAACTAAAGGATAAATAGCACTTAACTCCCTGTTATTTGGGTTTTGTGCACATGACTCTTATACCCCTCTAGTTTGAATTTTGTGCACATGACCCCCTTTGTACTTTTAATGTAAGCATATAATCCCCCTATGGTATTCTTTTTTTCGACCGACCCCCTCTGGACTATGGTTTCCACTTGGTAAATAATGTCTTAATTCCACTTTGCCCCTTGAAATATAGTATTTTTGCATTTGGTACCCTCGAAAAATATTAATAGCACTTTACACCCTCGAAACACAAAAATCATTAAAAACCATTTAAAATCATTATTTTTTTGCACTTTTCACACTCGAAATTATCTTGAAGGTAGAAGAAAACAACCATTTAATTTGTTATTTTAAACCGTGGAAATATAAAAACCAAGAAAAAATGAGATTTGTCTCATTAAGTTTTAAATTATTCAGTTCAGGGTGCAATGTGAGTGATTTATTGTGTTTTGATGGTGTGAAGTGCTATAAATTTTTTTCAGGGTGCAAAGTGTCAAAATGATACATTTTAAGGGTGCAATGTGGGATTAAGCCATAAATAATCATGCTCATTAAGAAGAAATTTTTTTTGAATATACCTGGTGGTTATATGTTTATATTAAAATATAAGGGAGTCGTGTGTTATATTGAAAGTACAAGGGAGTCACGTGCACAAAGTTCAAACCACAGGGAGGTATAGTTGAAATGCAGGATTTTGTCACTTTACACCTTTAAAAATATTAATATCATTTTAGACCCCATATACAACATTGTTTACACAATACACCCAAACTATTATTCTTAAGAGTAATTTTATGTTTTTCATGGTGCAAAATACTAAATTGAGGAGGTTTTTGCTCTCAACCTTTTCAACTTAAATATGAAGCTATAAGTGTTGTTCGTAAAATTGGAATTCTCTGCATTGATTTTATTGATATAAAATTGATTCTTATATGAACTTTTTTTTTTTTAATTATATGTACAAAAATTAAAAAGAAAATATAGTTCTTATACTATTTGTTTTACACAACTTATGCTTCTATAAAAAAAAATCAAAATTAATCAAAAGTTTAATTTATCTTTTGGCGATCCTAGAGAGGCCCATACAAATTAGCATTTCAAATTTATTAGTTTAAATTACAAGCTCTCCTTGAGGTATGGTCAAATTACGAAAAAACTCCATTTTATTTGGACAATTACATCTACCCCTCAAATATGAATCTTTTTACACCTCCAACCTTATGGTGTCAAATTCAACATAATTATCTAGATTTTGTAGAATGTGCTCTAGTTTGTACTCATTTTGTGTAAAAATACAGTTTCTGATGCACCCTTATGGAGCTCGAATGGAATAAAATGGGTACAAAAATGATAATATTACATATAATATAGAAGATTCCACTAAATTTAAAACCGCAAAGGTGGACGTGTAAAAAGATTTACAGTTGAGGGGTGGTTGTAATTACCCAAACAAGAGGAGAATTTTCGTATTTTCACCATACTTCGGGGGTGGTTGTAATTTACCCAATTTATTAAATAAATAAATAAAAACGGAAAAAAAAAATAACAATCGTTCACAAGCATAACTCCTATAATATCCTGATAAAGTGATAATAAACCTACTACACATATATATTTAATTTAATCCTCTGATTAATCTTAAATTAATCAAATATTCGTGGATTATACACCGGAGTTCTCGAAATTAATAACACTTCCTTTAGAGGAATGATCAAACCTCACATTCTAACACTACACACAATCCTTACCTATATATGCTATATCAAATTAAACTAAACGTTCGTGCAAGACGATTTTCGATCGCTCTTTCGACGTGTGTATATATATATATATATATTTATACATATCAACTATAAGCGACTAATGGACGTGATCCCGGAGAGGGCTTGGGGGGTGGAGGCGCTGGGGCTTTCGTTTTGCCAAGATCGGGCGACGATATTACGATAATACCCTTATCGCATAAATTAATAATATTATCGGCCGAATTGATGTTGGTTAATCTTGTAAGCCATTTGCAGACGAACTCCTTCACTGAATAAACTGAATTTGTAGAAGAAGAAGAATCCATTGCTGGTGCATAATCTGCACAATTATCATAAAGAATATTAATTCGTCAATTAATTTTGTATATATATATATATATATATATATATATATATATATATATATATATATATATATATATATATATATATATTAAATATTATAATACATGCAAATGAAATAATAATTGTTACCTGGAAGAATTCTTGCATGAATTCCAGATGCAAACACCACAAGTACTGTTAGAACTATAAGCATCATCTGCATGTTAGGGTTCATATTAAACTGAATATAATAATTATAAATGTGATAATTAAACTAATTAATGAATTGAAGAAACTCAAAGCTTATCCTCCACTTATATATATAGGCAATATGATAAGAACACATATATATATATATATATATATATACATACAGGGTTGATTTGGTCATGTTATAATATTTTGGTCAGTTTTCAGCATGAGGAATTGGTCAACTATAGTCAACGTACAGTGTGAACACGCACACAATTCACATTTTTTTACCACAATACTATTGGGATGTATAATATAATAATATTATATTAAGGGAATTATATAGGAAACCAATAACGACAAATTTTCTCAAAACGTCAAATATTCTTGGTCCAAAAAGAAAAAGGAAAAAATGAAGGATTCAATAATTGTACTGATCTGTCACTCAATATAATAAAACTAGTGGGTTTCAAGTCAGCATTGGATCAACGGGGGCCATGACCCCCAACCAATCTTAAATTTCCATTTATATTTAAAAAGAAAAAAATTATGTAAAAAAAAATTAATTTAAATTCTTGCTCTGTTATTGCCCTTGACGACAACAAAAATTTAATTTAAAAAAAAAAAGGTCGGTCTCATTGAAATTCAACGCGGCAGCCAAAGAGTGGGCATGCAAATTCTTGATTTAAAAAATTCAACCCAATAAAAAATTGATCTGATTCACTATTTGATTATTAATATATAAATAAATGTTAGATGCCCTCGTGTTTGAGACAAATATTCTTTGCATGTACTAAATCATATAATAATAAATAATGAGGCCTTGTTTTGAACTTCTTTCTTAGATTAACTTCAGCTATTATATATATGGTGACTCAATAGTTATATATTTTCTGTTAAATTTTTGTTTTATTATTTCAGCATTTTAGTACTTGAATAGAACATGCTAGAACTAGTCGTAAAATATATCGCTCTTCTGCTACACCGTACCGGAGGTTGTTACGAAGGCGGCAACTCATGTCGAAATAAATCAATAGATGGTTCAGTTGTCTTGTTGTTTCTGGTTGAAGTCGATCCACACCGCCTTCAATTTCACCTCTCACTTTTAATTTCTTAACATGGTAAGAATTTTGGGTGTAGTTTTGTCGTCTATACATCGACTAAAGATTGATATTAATTATTGCTGATTTAAGAGCTTCCGTTCGAGAAATGAGCTCTATATATAATAGAACTATATCATATTCAACTTCATCCTCTTTATCAGTTTCCCTGATGCTCCCGATTATTTATTTGTGGGTCAATATCTATGAAGTTAGGTAATTTTAATTTCTTCGAGATAGTTAAAGACATATTTTGCATGCATTAATTGTGTTAGGCGATAATTCAACTTTGATTAGATTTTGGTGTTCTTGGATGCTTTCACCGTCTAACATGCATTATCATTTGACCGAAGTTTAGAATGACAAAAATACATTGCAATTGTATTTGCATACTCTCTCTGTCTCTCTCTCTCTCTCTATCTCTATATATATATATATATATATATATATATATATATAGAGAGAGAGAGAGAGAGAGAGAGCTAATTAAATAGTATCGATAATTTGATATTCCACTAAATCAAAAATTTTGTTGATCCCAGTTATATTAATTTATAGAGGTTTCGAGAAAAACATAATCGGATAATATTGGAATTTGCATATTTCATAATGCAAACTATTGTTTCAAAATCGGCAAGTTCCGGATCGAAATTGATAAAACTTGGAAGAAGGTGCATACATAATATAATATATTATTTATAACTATATCAATTTTGTCTCATAATAAAACGTTAATTAAAACGTGATATAATAATTTCTAGATCAACCCTCACTAGGAGAGTTGATAGGTACCTAGCCTTTACCAATAGGGTAATGTCTAGGGTTTGAGTCTCCCCCTTCCCTACTTCCCCTTGTAATGGACTTGAATTTATTCAAAAAAAAATATTTCTAGAACTAATTGCATAGACCTCCCTGTGAAATTTTGAATAGCCAAAAACCCCTCATATTAGAAATATTAGCATAAACCTCCCTATATTATTTTTGATAAAGCACACTGACTCCTATTTCGAAATTAGCAGTTGACTTATATGAAATGACTAAACTAACCCTCATATTTTTTAATAATTTATGTTTCAATTAAATAAATAAAATGCAAATAGAAAAAAAAAAGAAAAAGAAAATTATCACCCAGGCCATCGTCTTCTTCCCGCAACCCAATTACCATCGAGCCCTCCGCCGCCGCATCACCACCACCACGTCCGCACTACAGTCGCACCATCGCCGCATCACCACCACCACGGCCACACCACCGCCACATCCCCACTTGCCTTCTCATCCCACAAAAAAATATGCCTTATGTTTGATGGGTTCTTTCATATCTCTTGTAAATCAAGATTTTGGATCGAGTTACGTTTTGTGCGTGTGTCGTACTGGGGGCCTATGTTTTTTGTGCTTGAAGTGACTTTTTCTTCCGGCAGGTTTAGATGGAGGAAGCAACTTTTGTTGTTTTTGCTTCTTTTGCAAATCGGCAGGTTATGAAGATGAATCGCTGGTTTTTGTTTGTTTTTTTTTTTATTTGGTGAGGAGCAGATCTGAAGGAGAGGGGAAGAAGATGATGAAGTTTTGAGAAATTATGAAAATTGCAATTTGGTTCTATGCAATTTGGAGAGAGGGCTAGTCTGAAATTAGTGGGGATTGGATTGAAAATTCTGAAAACTCCATTTTGAGCTTATGAAAAATATTTTGGGTAAATTTATAAATTTAAAAAATTGATTTAAAGGGTATTTAGGTCTTTCTAGTTCCAAAATACGAGGCCCAGTCGCACAAAGCGCGAGTGTATAACCCATCGAGCTCGTAGGGTCTTTTTTGGCTTTGACTATTTTTCACAGGGGGTTTTGTGCTAATATTTTTAACACGAGGGGTTTTTCAGCAATTCGAGACTACACATGGGTGGTTTTTGCAAAAAACCCTAATTTCTAACTAATTACACATATTATTCAAAATTCACGAAGCTATGTATAATTGTTGTATATATGTATTTCAACTATAAGCAACTAATGGTCGTTTTCCGGAAGCGGGGTCGGGGGCTGGAGGCGCCGGGGAATCCGTTTTCCCAAGACCAGCCGATGGTATAATTACGATATTAGCCTTATCGCATAAAATATTGATATAACCGGCCGAATCGGTTACTCTTACAAGCCAATCGCAGACAACCTCTATCACTGAATAAACTGGTTTATTCAAATGCTTATCCGCCGATGAAGACGAAGAAGAATCCATTATTGGTGCATAATAATCTGCAATTTTTTTATGAAGAATATAATATTAGTCAAAGATATTGTTGATTGATTATTACTAATTAAGATATATCATATATGCAATATTGTAATTAATTATTACCTGGCAAAATTCTTGCATGAACTCCAGCTGCAAATACCACAAGTGTTAGAACAACTATAAACATCTGCATGTTAGGGTTCATCTCTCTCAGGAGTTTTAATTAAACTTAATTATATATATAATTAATGTGATAAACCCTAATGAATTGAAGAAACTAAAAGCTTATCCTCCATTTATATATAGGCAATGATAAATATATATATATATATATATATATAAAAGGTTGATTTGGTCAAGTAATAATATTTTGGTCAGTTTCAGCATGCATGAGGAATTGGTAATTAACTATATAGTCAACAGTGTGAACAGACAAGCCCTCATTTTTTAACTTCAATATTATTAGAAAATAAATATAAATTATTATTTGATGTAATAATTATAATTATATTATATACATATAAATCCAAGAACAACTTGTCTCAAGATGTCAAATATTCATGGTCCAAAAAGAAACAAAAGGGATTTCAATAATTGTACTCTGTCACTCAATATAATAGACAACTGGGTTCCGTTTTTTATTGCAATTTATTAGCCCTTGACGACAACAAAAAAAATTTCGTTTTTAAATAGTCATTCTCATTGAAATTCAACGCGGCAGTGGACATCCAAATTTTTTGACTTAATCCAACCCAATTAGAATTGACCTAAAAACTACTGTGAATGTTTTTTAATATATATACTAGCCAACGAGGAATAGTGTAGCCAGTATCTTGTATATAAAAGAAAAAAATGCTGGTCAATCTTATTTGGTCAAATACCTAGCGACAAACTCCTATGTTCTTTTTATTACGGTATTTCTGAACAAGTTTCTGGATAACAAGCTTAAAGGTTTTCTTATTGATGATATCGATATTGATGATAGTAACGATATCGATGATAGTGAGAATATTGATGCTGGTGACAATATCGAGCGTGACATTGATACGGAGCTGGAACTGCTAACTATGATGAATGCGGTAACTATGGATATGATGCCAGAAATGGACCGATTTTATATCACCCTTCAATTCGAATTAGCAAAAGCAATGTCTCCTTGCATAATATGGATTCCAAACATTCATGATCTGGATGTGAAATACTAATTTCTAACTATAATTTTTAACAATTATCAATCTCTGATTTTTCATCAATATATCTCAAATCTTAAGAGATAGAGATAAAAATACGATTTTTTAAATCTTAATCTATATATTTGGATTATAAATCTTAATATGAAGATTTAAAAAAATCAATGTTATATAAAATATGAATAATACTACATTATTAAATTTTACAATGTTAGTATACGATATTTTCTTATTATGTATTAAACTGATTATTGTTTTCACTTTTGAAATAATATCCCGTGCATCGCACGGGGAAAAAATGCTTGTAGGGTTAAAGGCATCATATATAGTACCCGATCGGATACTAGTATGAATAATTCAAATTACCATAAAAGAAAAACATACCAATTACAAAGAAAGATTTCATAATGTCATTCCAATACATGGAATCGTTTTTCCTATAGCTTGATTCGGTCCCCTTTTATCCAAAAATCTAAAATAGAGGCAAGTCCACACATAAACAAACAAAACTTTGGATTCAAATTAGCACAAGTCTAGTTCTACTCTTATCTCTCAACAGATTTAACTTACCAACACATGTATAGTCAAATTAGGAATGAAGAACACTCGAACACTCTATCTCTCTCACTCTAAGTGCTCTATATATAGCCAAAGTAGCAACGAGCTGAAACGCGGAATACACTACATACTCTGATCAACTGAATAAGTTGAAGACTCTATTTATAAGAGGTCACCGAAAAGATACAATATTGAACGGGGGTACAACAAAGAGAGAGAGAGAAAGGCGCAACAAATGAATTAGGATTGAGAGTGTGAGAGATGTCTGAGAGAAGGAACAGTTGTGATCTAACTGAGAGCAATGAATTACCAAAATCAACTAAAAGACCAAAGCTGGAGTGTGCTTTGTAAGATCGGCCCATTTCCTTGTGTGGAGTTTGGAGTTAGACCCAATCACTCTGATCATTTTGGGCCCATTTCTACACCCCAACAATTCTCAAGCTCTAGGTTTTTATGTAAATATGTATAGGGAAAATATGCAAAACCCCCCCTCAAACCATAAATATTATGAGTTAAACCCATTTGACTTTTAAGACTTTTGCCCACACCCAAAGTCCAATCTTAATTAGTGAAACTCCCTTCAACAATTGTGATAAGACGAAACTACCCTTATCAATAGTTTTTTAAGATAATTGTAATATTTATTTACCATAACCGTCTCACGTGATTGTAGGATTACATTAATTCTCTCTTTATATCTACATATATCTCACTTTCATTATCTCTCTCTTTCTCACGCAACTTCTCCCATTTTTTTTTCTTCTTCAGACCCATAATCCTCCACCACTCGCCAATGGAGACCACTCAGCCGCACATGGCGCCGGCCCGGGGTTTCGATTCTCCTTCCGAAGAGCGGACGGAAAAAGAGGAGAAAAATCAAGTTTTTGAGATGCAGCAGTTTTCGTGCAGAGGCCAGATCGGAAAATCTAACCGTCGGATTGGGTTGATATTTTTATAAAGGATTCGTAACACATCAATATAACTTATGAACGGTGAAGATTGGAATCAGATATCTCTAAATATAGATCGGATCTTAAAACTAGCTGCTGGTTTTTGTTACTGAATAATTCCGGGCAGCTAGATTAGACGCGGTTTTCGTGCAATTGAACCGTTGGATGTGGTCGAAATTTGGATAGAGAATTCGGAGTATATATTTTTATATACTTTACGGAGGAGATTGAATTTGGTGGCCCCTAGCTCCGGATATAAATTGTGAAAATATCACAATTTGGTGAGATTTTTTTTTCATTTTTTAGTCTTCACTTTTAGAGATACTCCATTGAAAATTTGTTGGGGTCATTTGTGTTTGATTTTGATATTCCAATTGTTGTTAATTAGTCACTTTTTTTTTTTTGTTGAAAAAATGCAGTTTGAGCATTATTTCCATATTCGATGAGGAACTTCGGAATAAATGTGTCGGTGGCCATACTGATGTCAGG